ATGATGTCAACTATAAGTTTGCTGCATATGGCCTTTATTATGCTGAGGTATGCTATTTCCATCCCTGGGCTCTCCAGGGATTTTATCATGAAGGGATATTGGATTTTTGTCAAAGGCCTTTTCTGCATCTGTTGAGATGATCATGTGATTTCTGTCTTTGAGTTCATTTATGTGCTGAATTTGCATTTATTGCTTTATGTATGTTGAACCGTTCCTACATCTCTAGAATGTAACCAACTTGATCATGATGATCTTTTTGATTTTTTTTTTTTATCATTTGACTTGCAGGTATCTTCTTGAGAATTTTTTCATCTATGTTCAGCAGGAAGATTGGGTTATAGTGTTCTTTTTGTTACTGTTGTTGTTGGGCCTTTATCTGGTTTGGCCAGGATAACACCAGCTTTGTTTCTAAAAAGGTCTGGAGACATTATTCTTTTATTCTCTTTATTTTATTTATTTATTTTGTGTTTTAGAGACAGGGTCTCTCTGTAGCCCCAGCTGGCCTGGAACTCACTATGTAGACCAGACTGGCCTTGAACTCACAAAGATCCACCTGCCTCTGCCTCCCAAATGCTGGAATTAAAGGCATGCATCACCACGCCTGGCTAATTATTTTTTATTTTATTTTATGTGTACAAGTGTATTGCCTGCATGTGTTTAAGTGCACTCCTGTCATGCAATGCCCTCGGTGGCCAGAAGAGGGCATCAGATTCCCCTGGAACTGGAGTTACAAATGGTTGTTAGCCACCATGTGGGTGTTGGTATTTAAACCCAGGATCTCTGCAAGACCAGCCAGTGCTCTTAACTACTGAGCTCTCTCTCCAGTCCCACACTCCCTCTTGATTTTCATCCCTCAAGTTCTTTTCTTAGAAATTTCCAGAGACACAACCTATGTGAAGTTCACATAGAGGACTAAGTCTGTTCTGTGGATCGGAGCTAGCTGTGATTCTGCCCAGCTGCCGTTGCTTTGGTCAGGCTAGGTGGGCTGGTGTGTGGTAGCTGGAGCAGTTTTGAGACTGTCATGCCCACTGTTTCCCTGTTCCCTGCTGGGGTGCTGAAGGCAGTGGCCACTGGGGGCTCCTTCTATCTGACCCCTAGTGACCCAGCTTCTGTATTTTTCCTGGAAGAAGGCCTTAGGGTTAGTCTGCTGGTGTCCAGTGTCTGCGGCAGTGGACATAGTAGCAGCTGCCTTGGTTGTAGTGGGGGAAGTTGACTCTTAAATCTGCCGGTTGGGGTGGTAAGCGAGTGAATCATGGGACTGGAGAAGCAGCTGGCACAGTGATTGTGTATTCCTGTGTTCTTGGTTTCCCTAACTATGATCAGCCACTTGTCCTTCTAAGTCACCATCTTACCCAGAAGTACATCATGGGGCTCTGAAACAAAGGTCACTCTCTCTGTGCTCTTGCCTCAGTCACATCCTAGGGCCCCAGGAGGATCCACGGTCTGAGGGGCATAAGATGCCGCTCTGTGTGAAAGGTGAAACAAACTTGGACCAGCATCAAGCAAGTGTGAAAATCTGAAAGCCAGGACTCTCATTCCTACTGAAAGTCTTTCCTCATCAGGCTGAGTAACCTGGCTAAATACCCCTCCTACACACACTGGCTTGAGACCACACACTACCTCTATAAAGGAGTTAAGATTCTGGTTTGCAAGACTGGAAAATGGATGCAGGCTAAGCAGGAGACAGTATCTTCCCAAGATCACCCAGTGAATACAGAGTGGGCACTTGAATCCAGCGCTCTGGACCCCTTCTGTGGGCTTTTTCATTCCCCCACCTCTGAGCCTTGTTCCCCACTCTAGCCCTTCACTGGTGCCCCTGCCATTGTACAGCATGCAACCTGCCCTGTTCTGCCCATCACAGGATTTTGGCTTGCTGCTGGTGTCCCTCTCGGATGAGAATGACAATCACCCACTCTTCACTGAGGGCACATACCAGGCAGAGGTGATGGAGAACTCTCCTGCTGGTAGGTGCTGGGCCCATGCAGGGGCACCTACCACAGTGGTAGACACCACTGGAGCCTTAGGTGCCAAGGATGCTTGGGTGCATGCTGGCATAGCTGGACATAGAGGGTGCCAAAGGAGAGGACACAGTTCCAAAGGCTGGGGGTCTAGGGCCACTAAAGAGGCCACAGGTCTGTTTGGAAGAGATGGGAGTGCTCATTGGTCCCTGAGGTGATCTGAAAGTTGCCCACTGTCCCTCAAGAAAGGCATTCAAGGTGGAAGGAGTGCCCAGAACATTTAAGCCAGCTTCCCCGCTCCCCAGCCTTGTGGGGTGAAGCCCTGGGGAACATCTACCATCAGAAGTAGGGTCAGGGGTCCTGGATAGTCAGCATAGCCCTTGCCCTACACAGCACTAGTCAGCCTTGCTTCCCTTTAAAGGAACAGAGTCTGCTCTTGGATACCTCCAGGAGGCCCCCTCCCCAATCCCTGCCCTCCCCCGCCCCCCTAGTCCTCAGAGTTTGATTTTGAATTGGAAAGAGATAAGCTGAAATTGTACTTACCTCTGGATGGGTGTCACCTCCATGTGAACTTGATTTTTAAATCTGCCAGTGTGCACATTCCTGTGTTCACTGGTAGGTACACTTCCACATCAAGGCGTATGTGTGGGGTACATGTGTGCACAGGCACACATAGGCATACAATGTCCCCTTGATGTACTCATGGTAAGTGTGCCCACCTACATAGATAGACGAGCCCACAACCAGGTATCCCAGACTTGCATGTGTTCCCATGTGTGCTCAGACACAACCACATGAACACAGAGACCCACACAGTGTGTGCATATATAGCCATGTACAATCAAACTCTATAATACAGCAATGTGTACATACATGTTGATAGACAGAACCCACACATGGAGAAGGGGATACCAGGGAGCCCCCTAGATCCTCCAGTGGAGTGGCCAGCCTCAAAGGCTGCTGGGAAGCAGGCGTGGCTCTGGGCGGGCCAGAGGGGCTTGCTCACCACTCTTGTGTTTTCTCCCCAGCAGAGCTTTGAGGCCGCTCCAAGGCATCTGCGTTCAGTCTGCCAAGGCTGCCGCAGGCCCGCCCCAGGGCCTCTCCATCCCATACCCGTCCACCTTCCTTCCCTCCCCTCTCATCCATTGTCAAGCCATAGCTCACGGGACAGGCCAGGGAGGGGGGAGGGCGGGGTCAGGACTGGCCTGCGGTGACTCCTCTCCTCTGACCCAGGGACACCCCTCACGGTGCTGAATGGGCCAATCCTGGCCCTGGATGCTGACGAGGATGTGTACGCCATAGTCACCTACCAGCTGCTGGGTGCCCACAGTGACCTCTTTGATATCCACAACAGCACAGGTGGGACCTCTGCACTGCCAACTCTGGGGTGGGACTGGGTCTAGGCTCCTCCTCAGTGTGGGACCCAGGTTCTTATGGGGACCATGTTCCTTATAGCCCACACCACACAATGAAGCTGGATTAGGCCCCCAGAGTCCCAGTGGGGGATAGGTACCCAAGAGGAAGCTTAGAAGTAACCTGAAGGGCCTCCTGCTTTACACTGACCTGACCAAGCCTAAGCACACAGCCTTGACCCTCTCCCTGCACACTGTGTGCCCCAGGCAGAGCTCACCCCATGATCAACCAGAAATAGCCAGAGTAGCTTTCCTGTCCTCATACCAGACTAGCAGCTCCCCACAGTCCATGTCACATCCATCTGGTCAGGACAGTAGGCTAGTCTGGTGGCAGGGTCATAGAGGAAGTATGTCCCTCCATGGAGCAGTCCTCCTCCGTGGTCACTGTACACAGGCAGGACTCAGGACTGCAGAGATGACCATGGAGGACCAACCAGAGCAAACATGTGGGACCCATAGTGGAAGCTTTGGGGAGGAAAGTCACTGTATCTTTCTCCTCTTGTCCATCCTTCTCTTCCCACTCTCTGGGCTCTTGCCTTGTCTCCCCTACTGCATCCTTCTCCCTGTACACCTCCCTCCCTGGCTGATGATATGGGGTATCAGGTGTGGTAACTGTGAGGTCAGGTGTCATCATTGACCGGGAGGCCTTCTCACCCCCCATCCTGGAGTTGCTGCTGCTGGCTGAGGACATCGGGCTGCTCAATGGCACAGCCTACCTGCTCGTCACCATCCTGGATGACAATGACAACTGGCCGACCTTCAGTCCTGCTGCTGTGACTGTCCACCTGCTGGAGAACTGTCCACCAGGTAACCAGGGTTGGGCACCAGGCCCCACCTGCCACACCACCAGGAGCCGGTTGGTGGTGAGAGGGGTTAGAAGCTCAGGTGGACACAGAATTCTCCTCAGGGGATAGAGTGCTGGAGTGAGAGTGGAGAAAATGAGGACTCCTCAGAGCCTTAGTGTGCTGTGATGATCCAGATGTTCCATTCATGTTCCTATGTGGGAAGTCATCATCATCACCACCATCATCATCATCATCATCTTGGTTTTCCGAGATAGGTTCTTACTCTTTTATCCCAGAGTAGCCTGAAACTCACTATGTAGGCCAGGCTGGCCTCAAACTCACTATAAACTCACATTGACCTTAAATTCAGAGCAATCCTCCTGCCTCAGCCTCCCAAGATCTGGAATAACAAGTATGAGCCCCCATGCCCAGCTAAGTCTGACTGTTAAAGAATCAGAGAAACTCATCACAATCCAATTTAAGGGGAGTGGGGCTACGTTTGGTTGTAAAGGTCATCTAGAAGAGTAAGAAAAGTCTGAAACAAAAGCATTATGGTGCATATTGGCAAGGCTATGGTGAAGAGAGCCCCTTGTGTACCATCAACAAAGGTTCTTGAGCTAGAGAGATGGTTCAGGATAAGAGTGCTTGCTGCACCATCTTGAGGACCTGAGTTTAGATCCTAGCACCCATGTAAAAAGTTGGACGTGACACTGTGTGCATCTGTAACCTCAGAGCAGTGGGTGGTGGGTAGGATCATTGGGGCTTGCTTGCCACCATCCTAGCTCCAAGTTCAGTGAGAGACACTGTCTCAAAAGACTAAGGTAAAGATTCATAGAGAAGGAGGCCTAATGTCTTCTTCTGCCCTTGGCCCACGTACATTTATGTGCACCTACACACATGTAAGCATACTACACACACACACACACACACACACACACACACACACACACACGCATAAGCAATGAACAAAAATGTCCTGATAAATTTTTCCAGAAGAGGCCAAAGTGCTCAGCTCCTCCCTGATTCTTCTTTACAGGATTCTCAGTCCTTCAGGTCACAGCCACAGACAAGGACAGTGGCTTCAATGGGGAACTGGTCTACCGAATAGAAGCCGGGGCTCAGGACCGCTTCCTCATCCATCCCGTCACTGGAGTCATCCGTGTGGGCAATGCCACCATCGACAGGGAAGAGCAGGACTCCTACAGGCTGACAGTGGTGGCCGCTGACCGGGGCACCATGCCCCTGTCAGGCACAGCCATCGTCACCATCCTGATTGATGACATTAATGACTCTCACCCTGAATTCCTCAAGCCCATTCAGACAGTGAGTGTGCTGGAGTCTGCTGAGCCCGGCACTGTCATTGCCAACATCACTGCCATCGACCTTGACCTCAATCCAAAGTTGGAGTACCACATCATCGGCATTGTGGCCAAGGATGACACTGACCGCCTGGTACCTGACCAGGAAGATGCCTTTGCTGTGAATATCAATACAGGTACAAGGGCCACTGCCTTCTACCCTCGCTGACCCTGGCCCAGAGTCCTTGTTCCCTCCCTCCCTCCTTCCATCCCCGTTCTGTCTCTGCCATTCCTTGTATTTTCCTCTTTCTTTCTGACACGTATCCATCCCTCTCCTTTCCTTCATCCCCTTGCCTCTTCCTCCTCACCTCTCTGTCCGGCTCCCCTGACAAGCTCCCCAGGCCTTTTTGGCTCCTTCACCCTATAGTGTTGCATGAGTGCCCATCTCCCCACAGCCTCACCAGCATTCAATATTACAGAGTTTTTATGTTTGTAATTTTAAAGAAAACAGTACCTTGTTTTAAATATGCATTTTTTAATCATGAGATTTGACCAAATGCTTTCTTCATGTATATATTGACCATTTAAATTCTCTATAAATTCTACTTGTGGAATCTGGTGGACATGTGGTCTTCTCCCATTATCATAAAATAGAGCCATGATTTCATCTTTCACAGTTTGTAGTTTCCTATAGTATTGATGGTTTACTGTTTTCCAAAAGTTCTGTGGTTTTGATCCTCTTAGGGACATGGGTCTTCTATGGAAGGCCCAGAAAAGTGTCAGAAAAGTTAGCATGACTATGACAAAATGCTACAGTCCATTGCTATTCAGAGACATGTACAGTAAAACAGCACCAACAGATCAGCTCTCTATATGTACCTGTGAGGATGCTGGACAGTGCTACCCTGGTGACAGTGTAGGGACATTGGGATTCATGCATTACTGTAGGGGTTGAGACCAACTGTCCCATTTGACAGCATCCCAACACTAGTACACTCAGACCTCAGGACCCAGCAGTTCCATGTCCGTGTATGTGTATGTGTGTGTGTGTGTGTGTGTGTGTGTGTGTCTATCCTAAAGCAAACTCAGGGATGATCCTTGGGGCCACATGGCACTGCCTGAGGATGCTTACTTCAGAGTCACTGGTGGGAGTTAAAGACCAAGCATGCATCTCTCCATCTCTGAGCCTAGAAGGTAAAAAGTGGTGGGTGCATACCATGGGGAACCAGGCAGCAGTTAGAAATAGGGTGAACCCACACAGCAGTAGGGTGAGACTTAAAAATAAGTACTGGCCCAGGAGAGCAAGAAATCAAATGAGACACATACCATAATAGCATTTACATAAATGTAAAAGTGTATATGGTCTTCAGGAATGCTTTTATTTTTGAGATGGACTCAAGTAGCCCAAGCTAGCCTCAAACTTGCAATGTAGCCAAGGATTACCTTGGAATTTTTTATCTTCCTCCCTCCACCTCAGCCATTAGACAATTAACTCCCTCTTTAGCCATCTTAGAATGGTTATTTTTTCTCAATACACCTAAACAAAAAAATGTTTACCCCAAACCAACAGAGAACAGCTCTTACTCAACAGGGCCAAACCAGAACCATCCAACTTACCAGACAAGATCCTGATATTACTTATCCTTCCGTATCTTAATTTCAGCTTTCTTTTATAAGCCTCAGAAGAATGGCAAATAACTTTTGGCGGGGGGGGGGGTAGGCAAATTTTCCTTTCACCGCCCTCCTAAAAGACTCTGTGGGATTCCACTACTGCTTATGCAAGGCTTTTCTCCCGTAAGTACATATCCAATTTTTTCTGATGGCCCCAGCAAATCAAGCAAAGTGGCCATTAGGTGAAGCAACGATTCTGGAATGTGGCACTCTGTTGGAACCCCCAAAGCAGTAGCCACTACCCAATGGGAAGAACTTTTGGCCTCCTTTCCTATTTAAAACAATTCCCTGACCAAACTTTTAATTTGTTAAATTATCCTCACACAAGGCACCAAATGAGGCAGTACTACATTAAAAAGTCTGACTCCTGGAGTAGTTTAACCAGGAGTGAGCCAGCTCTGAACTGTTCTCTCGAACAATGGGCCACCCCCATATTTACTGAGTAGTATATCAATCATGGTTTGGGAAAGGAATGAGGAACTTTGTCTTAAAGAATCTTTAACCAGAATTTTATAAGAGAAGTTACTTTTCTGGACCAGAGACAGCATTTAAGACCACAAACACATTTGTCAACCTGTGCCCACTTGTTACTGCCAACATTTCTTGTGGGGGACACATTGTTTTCAACATCATGACTTCTTTCCACAGGTCTCAGGTCTAATGACCACATCTTACATATACATTGTTCTCCATCAGGGACATGGAAGCATCATGAGAGAGAAATAGGGAAAATGGTCTAAGATGAAAGCTGTGCATTCAGCTTGGCTTGTAAGAGTTAATTACACCAGGAGTCCGGAGCACAGTAAGATTGATGACGTTTTTCCTAAAAGTTAAATTTAAACAAGCTGAAGGCATAATAGGAAAACAGATTGAATACATAGTTCTAAATGATCTCAAAGCATATGATTAACTTGGTTATAAGGTTGTACAAAAGTTCAGTTTGTAATTTCCAGAAAAGCTAACCCTACAGCCTTCCAAGTGCTTGGAAGTATGCAATGCTGGGCATCTGGTGGATGTTAGGGAAGTGCTCTACCAACTGAACTCCATCCCCAGCCTCAGAAATACCCTTTTGTTGCTTTTTGTTTGCTTGATTGTTCTTTGAGGCAGGGTCTCCCTGTAGCCCCAGCTGTCCTGGAACTTTCTATGCAGACCAGGCTAGCCTGGATCTCAGAGACTCACCTCTCTTGGCCTCCCAGCCACCCAAGTGCTAGAAATAAAGGTGTGTGCCACCACACCTACTTAGGAATACTTTTAAATAAAAATATATCTATTGTACTACCTTAAGATTGCCTGAGGGTAGAGGGAATAAAATGAGGAAGACTAAAAAATTAAAAATTAGGCCAGGCATGGTGGTACACGCCTTTAATCCCAGCACTTGGGAGGCAGAGGCAGGTGAATCTATGAGTTCAAGACCAGTCTGGTCTACATAGTTCCAGGCCAGCTGGGGCTACAGGGCCTCCCTGTCTCAAAAAGACAAAAAAAAATATTAACCACGCCTTTGATCCTAGCAGAGGCAGGCAGATCTCTTGAGTTCAAGGCCAGCACACACAAAATCAACATTTTTTTTAAAAGTGTATTATATTTGAGGAGGAAGCATGGAAATTTATGTCATGTTAATTAGTAGAGGTGATAAACATTACCATTGAAATCTGCCCGATGACTTTATAGACATGCACAGGTGCCGAGGATCCAAGCGCAACCGATTATGACTAGTAATAATCAGATACATACAGATTAGAGATGCATGCACCAACATCTCAGTATAAGTAGCAAAAACAATGAGTCTTTCTGCAAGGAACAATATATTCTAAAATGAAATGGAGATCTTTTTTAAAGGTTAAAAACCCATTCAATTTTATGTCTTACAGGGCTTATACTGAGTTCAATATTGTGTAACTGTATTAATTCAACTGTGAACCTAGAAACTTACAGCCACTTGTGAAAGAGATGTACTCTTGCTCTGGAGTGTGTTACTGAATATGTTAAAGCTGTAGTGAAATGCTTCTTCTAATCACATAGTTATTAAAAATAAAATAAAAATAGCTCTTTTTAAAAAAAAGACCAAAATAAATAAATAAAATTTTTAAAAAGAGAGATGACAACAATCATAACATTATAGAACCAAATTAGTTTTAACCTCATCTGCATACGGGGTTCACAATGAGAAGAAAGAATACCCATAAGCCCTGGGAGACGTTGGTAGAATCCTATGCCAGCCATGTCCAAGTTAGCCAGGTTCCTGGCTGTGCTGCCCAGTCAGGACCATGGAGAGTCACCCCAACTCTTTCCCTTGTGTTGTAGAAGCCTCACTTTTCTCTTTGCTGACTCTTTTCTCTCTATTTTTCTTTCCAGTGTCTTCTCTGTCCCTCTTCCTCATGGTCTCCCAGTCTCCTTGCTCAGCTTCCCTCCCCTTTCTCCCCGATCCCAGCCCCTCTCCACTCCAATGGGTTCTCACTTGCTTGTCCGTTTCCTTCCCCTCTGCCTCCTGCATCCCCATCCTAGCCCCTCCTGCCCTGGGCAGCTCTGAGTCCCACAGTCATCCCTTATGCCCTGCCCCATCCCTCCTCGCTTGCTGCACCCTGAACTAACCAATGTTAACCCTCTCTCTCTTCCTCACGGCTGACAGGCCCACAGGTTTGAGCTCTGTTCTGTCACTTCCCACCTCATCTCCTCTCTACTTCACCCACCCCATTGCCTTCCTCCATCCTCACACCCCACCCTTCCTGCCCCAGGGGCCGGCCCAGGCCGTGCCCAGCCTTTGCAGACTGAACGCAGCTGCCCTCTCCCCATCCTCGCTCCCCAGCCTGGGGGACGGGGAGCGAGAGTAGGAAGAGGAGGAGGAGGAGGAGGAGGAGGAGGAGGCGGCCGTCCAGGGTAAGTGACCGCCCATGGCTGGGGACCCGTGGATGACACAGCAGCCCAGAAGGGGGTATGCCAGGGGGATGAATATCGAAGACTCCAGTGCCTAAGAAGGAGAGGAGGTCTCAGCTTAGGGTCAATGAGGGGGTGCCAAGAGGAGCCACCAGGCCCCAACAGGCAGGAAGAAGAAAAGCCCCAGCAGATTGGTCAGTAGGTCTATCCAGCTAAACTCAAGCTTCTAGAGGGTTCCTCTCTGATTTGAGGAGCAGGCAAGGACTCTGGGAGACAGCAAGAAAGGTGAGGGAACTGATGTCCCTGACAGAGTCAATGTTCCTGCCGGAATTAGCACCATGTCATACTCCACTTAGTCGAGACAAAGCGATACACCTGGGGTCCTACCTGTCCCTCCAGGGCAGTTGCCCCCCAAGGATGTCAAGCTGCCATGAGATCTCCCTAGAACATAATCGTTTGTAAATTTGTGACATACAACGTAAAATTTACTGTTTTGATTGTTTTTCCCAGTACCAAGGATTGAACCCAAGGCCTTGTGTATGTACGCTAAGCAAGTGTTCTTCCACTAAGCTATATTCCCAGCTCCCTTTTATTTTATTATTTTATTGAATTATATTGTATTTTGAGGCAGGGTCTCTCTTAAGTTGCCAAGGCTGGCCTTGAACTTGTTTCCCTCCTATTTCACTTTTTTGAGTAACTGGGATTTCAGACATGTACCAACATGTCAAGCTTGGTTTCTTTGTTGAGGCAGGTTCTTTCTTTGTAGCCCAGGCTGGCCTCAAACTGTCTCAGCCTTCTGAGGCCTGGGATTCCCAGGCCTGGTTCACTTCAGCCATTTTTAAGTAATATCAAGTATGTTCGAATTGTAGAATTGCAAGCATTAAAAAAATTACAGAGCACTCTCTTTGGCAGATAGACTCCCATTTCTCTGCAGTAGGTGCTGTACTTTTTTCCTTTCATAAATGGGGAGACAGAAAGCTCAGACAACTTCCTCAAAATCAACAACATGTAAGCATTGGGTGTGGGGCAGGGTGATAGGCTCCAACTATGTGAGCAGCTGTGCCCCATCCCAGCTTCAATGCCCAAGGTCCATCAGATACTATTACCCTCTGTCAGGATGGGGTATGATGGGGCAAGAGCTCTGAGAAGTGGAGATTTTAGGGGGTTCCCTCAAGCTGAATCCAACTTGGTCTGGTCCACAGGGTCTGTGATGGTGAAGTCCCCCCTGAACAGGGAGCTGGTTGCCACATATGAGGTCACTCTCTCAGTGATTGACAATGCCAGCGACCTACCAGAGCGTTCTGTCAGTGTGCCAAATGGTAAGATTTCCTGACAGTGTCTCTTATTGGTCACTCAGAGTCTGGGATGGGCCAAGAGCAAGTACAGGCCTGGACCCAAGGGGAGAGTACCAGGACTGAGCTGTCAGGGCTGTGGAGGAGCCAGCTGCCTTGAAAATGACAGCCACCTTGAGGCTCAGGACTGCTGTGCTCCTGAAATGTGTGTGGTCTGCACCCCCTAGGCTCTGAAGGGAAAGGAGACTCAGTAGAGTTGGGAGGAGGGCAGGCCAACAGAGTAATATGGGAATCCAACTATGTAACTGGTAGCCAGGGCGTATCGAGAACAGGAGACAGGAACTTCACTATCAGATAGGAAGCCAGGGGTAAGAACAGGAACCAAAGAGTAAGGGAAGGTGACTGGAGGCCACAAACCACATGGGACAAGCTCGATGATTGAGAAGGAGACACGTGCTGCCATCCTCCTGGGTCATAAGCTGGGCAGCTGCTATAGGCTGGACGGGATAGGCTAGCAGAGTAAGTAGTGGGGACAGTACGGATAGGGTGGCTTCAAGTGACTACTGCCTTCGGCTGGTTATCTTTATAGCCCAGAAGCCCAAGTTTTCCGGAGGGAAGGGCACACTCAGTTATCTCTTACATGCCTGAGGTCATAGGGTCACAGGCCCAGCTGCTGAAGCAGAGGGGACAGCTCAGAGGAGACTAGAGAAGGCTAGATCGGGGAAGCATCTCAAAGCATCTTCATCCTAGCTCACAAAGCATGTCAGGAAACTGACACAGAAAGGGCCAAGGGTGCTACCAAGGTCCCCCAGCCCTTTGGCAGAAGGCAAGCCTCTTCTAATGGGAGGGAGATGACCAGGTCAGAGCAAAAGGTTGTATGTCACAGTCTGAGAGTTGGGCCAGTGGGGAGATAATTCAGTTGGTAAAGTGCTTGCCTTGTAAGCATGAGGACTTGAGGTTGATCCCAAGAACTTACATTAAAATGTCAGGGTGTGATGGCACAGACCTGTGGAGGTGGAGACAGAGGCACATCTCTGTGAGTTCGAGCCCTGTCTGATCTACATAGTGAGTTCCAATCCTGCCAGGGCTACACTGTGAGACCCTGTCTTTAAAGAAACAAAAGCCAGGCGTAGTGACATATACTTGATGTACTTGTACTCCCAGCATTGGGAGGTGAAGACAGGTAGATTCCCTGGGGCATGCTGGCCAGTCAGCTTAAACTACTCGGGGAGTGCCTGGTAAGCAAGAGACCAAGGAAGAAGACTTGGGTTGTCCTTTGGTCTCTACACGCAGGCACACAACAAATGCATGTGTACCCACACACATGCACCTGCACATGCATGAACACACACACACACACACACACACACACACACACACATATGCCCATAAAATAGAGCCCCAGGAGGGTGTGAGACACTGCCTTGGACCTGGCTGTGGCCTAGGAAGCCCATCCCTGGTCCTCACTCACTACCTGTACCCCAGCCAAGCTCACGGTCAACATCCTGGATGTCAACGACAACACGCCGCAGTTCAAGCCCTTTGGGATCACCTACTACACAGAGCGGATCCTGGAGGGGGCCACCCCTGGTACCACGCTCATTGCCGTCGCAGCTGTTGACTCTGACAAAGGTCTCAATGGACTAATCACCTACACTCTGCTGGACCTCACACCCCCAGGCTACGTCCAGCTGGAAGACTCTTCAGCAGGTAGGTGGCAGATCTGCCAGAGGAGGGGTGAGAGAACACATGTTCCTACCTATTAGCCCCAGCCCCCAGCAGGACTCGATCCTCACCATCTCGTTGGAGCCCCACCCTAGACCCATAGTAGTTTGGCCAGATTCAAGATGACTGTCACTCTAATCACTTCCCCCTAGTAGAGGATGCAGTTTTCTAGTTCTGGCTGGGATGGAAATCCATAGATGTCTGCTGGAACCCTAGCACACTCTGGTGCCACCCAAGTTCCTACAGTCACATCTTTTGGGAGCAGGGACTCTGACAGGTATCTCAGGATGCTTTGGGGTCACTGATACTCATCCCAGTGTGTACAAGAAGCTGTCAGCATTCCCTCTCAACCTCTGTTCTGCTGTGAGGCAGGGCTGCCTGCCCACCTTCCTTCTTAAGGGTCCCACCTGCCCTTCAGAGCCCCAGATCCTTTGCAAAATTTAGACAGCCAGAATGAGAAGTGGCTAAAATGTCATCAGTGGACACCTCTGTGTCTCAGGGAAGGTCATTGCCAACCGGACAGTGGACTATGAAGAAGTGCACTGGCTCAACTTCACAGTGAGGGCCTCAGACAATGGGTCTCCACCCCGGGCAGCTGAGATCCCTGTCTACCTGGAGATTGTGGACATCAATGATAACAACCCCATCTTTGACCAGCCTTCCTACCAGGTGGGTGGCTGGACCAATATGGAGGGGGTCAGGTTGTGTGCCTATTCCCTGGGGTTTTTGTGTCTTCTACTTACCTCTCCCAGCCTCCACACCCTCTGTCATGCTGCCCAGGGTCCCCACACCATCAGGGAATTCCTGGGCAGAGCTTGGACTCCAGGAGTGACCACACCTGCTGACTTACTCGATCTCTCTCTCCAGGAGGCCGTCTTTGAGGATGTGCCTGTGGGCACGATCATCCTGAGGGTCACTGCTACTGACACTGACTCAGGCAACTTTGCCCTCATCGAATATAGTCTTGGGGATGGGGAGGGCAAGTTCACCATCAACCCTACCACGGTAAGTGAGCAGTGGAGGGCCTGGGAGTTTGAAGACCTAGAGTCCAGGGTTGAGAAGCCACCAGAAATATCCCAGTTGTCTCCCTGTTTCTGGGCCCTGTCTCCTGGACATCTGAAGAGTTCAAGATTCTTTTTTAAAAAAAAGAAAAAAATTTGAATTTTTTGAAGCAGGGTCTCCCTGTAAGCCCCAGCTGTCCTGGAACTCACTATGTAGACCAGGCTGGCCTTGAACTCACAGAGATCCGCCTGCCTCTGCCTCCCAAGTGTTGGGGACTATAGGTGTGCGCCACCACGCCCAACTATTTTATTATTTTTAGTTTATAAGTGTTTTGCCTGCATGTGTGTAAGTACACTTGGGTCATGCAGTGTCCACAGAGGTCTGAAGACAGCGTTGGATGCCCTGGAACTGGAGTTATGGACAGTTGTTAGCCACAGTGTGGGTGCTGGGAACCGAACCTGGGTCCTCTACAAGAGCAACTAGCACTCTTAACTGTTGAGTCATCTCTCCAACCCCTGAATTCAAGATTCTCTATCTGAACTCTCCTCAGAGTATTAGATGCTATGAAGACCCAGCCTTTCTGTCCCAACACACATGGAAGGAACTGACCCTTTGGAGGGACAAGATGTGTCCTCATCAGGCCCAAAGTCTTCATAAAAGTCCATGGGAGAGCTTTTTGGGACTGTCAAAGAGAGGCTGAAAACCGGGTGTGGTGATGCATGCCTTTAATCCCAGCACTCTGGAGGCAGAGGCAGGCAGATCTCTGTGAGTTTAAGGCTAGCCTGGCCTACATAGTGAGTTCTAGGCCAGCTGGAGCTATAGGGAGACCCTGTCTCAAAGAGAAAAAAAAAAAGGCTTAGGAGCTCTGTGGAAAGTGGGCACTGTATTTGAGTGCCTTCTGTATGCATGGGTTTATACTCAATGTCGAGAGAGGGAAGATATCCAAAAGGGTGGACCCTCATGCCCCTGAGTCTCAGCCCTTTGGGAGAACAGATATTCAGAGGAAATGAGCAAATGTCTGCTGATTGGATCAAAAGCCCGATGTCTTCAGTATGAGGAGAGAGCCCTGCAAACTGGGCAGGGGTGGGGTAGAGCCTTCTCCAGTTGCTGGAACTGGGCTTTCTTCCTTTCCCGCTCCTCCCTGCCCCTATCCTCCTGCATGCTTTCCTTCAGGAGAATTTATTTCTGCTCCATGTGGGCACTCAGATATAGTGCCTGGAATTAAGAGCAGTGCCTATTGTGAGAGTACCTGCTCTATGTCAGGGCCTGGTCAGGCAGTTGACTCCATCCTGAGCTAGTCATCCCATTTGGATACACTGGGGGTATGAGGGCAGGAAGAGTCACCAGATTTGGAGCACCATGAAGATAAGTGCTTTTCTTCAGAGCCTTCCAGATCCACTGATATCCAGTGTAGTAGATGCTCAGTAAACATTTTAAGTTGATGGATCACCTGAAACCCTGTCCTCCATCTAGGGTGACATCTATATACTGTCCTCACTGGACCGGGAGAAGAAAGACCACTATATCCTGACTGCCTTAGCCAAAGACAACCCTGGGGATGTGGCCAGCAACCGTCGAGAAAACTCTGTACAGGTGAAGGGCAGCATCTTGGGCTAGGGACACAGACACGGGGGCTATGGAGGAAGCAAGCCAAGTTAATAGAGAGTGACACTGTGGGTGGGAACAGGGCCGTCAGCCCCCTAAGAGGCATGGTTACAGGAAGAAGAATGGTAGGTGGTGCCAGTAGCTGTAGTTTAGGAAGGCAGAGCTATCAAGGACTGATCTCTTGTTCCAAAATGTTGCACAGACAACCAGGCACACCTGGATGTGACCCAGCTGAAGCCTGGGGTGTGCCATGGTCCAGCCTCTTTGATTATCCCGCTGAAACAGTCCAGCAGTCCAAACTGAAATAGCCATCTTTACCTGAGGGTGGTTTTCTTTTTATTGAGGCAAAATCTCGCTATGTAGCTCATGTTGATCTTGAACTGGAGACCTTCTGCCCTCAGCCTCCTAGGTGCTGTGACTCCAGGGGTGTACCACCATGCCCAGTTTAATGTGATACTGGGAATTCAAATCCAGGCCTTCATGCCAGCTAGGCAAGCAGTCTACCAAATGAGCTACATCCTAGCCCCTTATTTATGATTCTTGAAGTCCCCCTTCACATTCCAGTTCTGGAATTTGCGGTGCAGCTCTGAGCCCCAGCTCGTAAACTCTTTCTGCCCTCTTCTTCCCAAAGCCCCAAGCCTCAAGGCCTTGTTTGTTCAGGTTGCTAACTGGGCCCACTTCTATTTCCACTGAGTCTCTCTGAACTTTACAGAGGAAGCCACAAGTGTGGCCATGGGAAATCGGGGAAGACAGGTGGCCTAGAAGTGCTTTGTATACCAAAAGGGGCCCCTCAGAATCACTACTGGGTGGGACTGTGATGATGACAACATACTTGAGTGGGGAGCCTAGGCAGCTAGGGAAGGGGCCTTGCAGTCTGCAGAGCCCACAGGTCCTGCTGGAGGCTGTGGCATCAGCAAGAGAGACCAAGTCTCCTCCAGTCACAAATCTTGGTTGAGGGGCTCTAGGGTGTGGAGGCACCCCAGCAATCCAGAATGAAGGTCAAGAGAATAAAGCTAGTCTTGGGGGAAGGGGACACCATAGGGAGAAGCAAAAGACAGATTTGGAGGGGCCGGGTGAGGGATTCCTGTGGCAGGGCCCAGGTTGGGCAACCTGCTACCTACGGTCATTGATGTTAACTATTTACTCAAGCTACACACTGTACTAAGAACATAGCTGACAGAATTATGTGTGTTTGCAAGATTCCCGAGAGAGAAGACTCTTCTGTTCACCGCCCCTTGCACTGTTAAGGAATCTGAGGCTCAAGGAGTTCCATAAAGAGCCTGGGGTCAGACTCTGATACATTATAAGACATCAGATGACAGAACCTGCTGGGTGTTTGGTACACGACTGTAATCTCAGCACTCAAGAGCATCTGGAGTTTGAAGCTAGCCTGGGCTACATAGTGACCATGCCTCTTTTGGGGCAAGTTCTTATATATCTCAGGGTAGCCTCAAACACACTATGTAGCTGAGGATGACCTTGAATTCACAATCCTCCTGCATCTACCTTCCAAGTGCTAGGATTACAAGCGTGGATAACCACGCCCAGTTTATGCAATGCTAGGGGTTGAACCCAGGGCGTCCTGCGTACTAGACAAGCACTCTACCAACTAAGCCACATCCCCAGACCCAAGACCTCCCAGGATGTTGTCTATCTCTTCTCTGTCCCACCTTAACCAGTATGACCAGGTCTCCTGAGGTAGCCTCTATCATGCTTTTGACCTTGACCTCCCCCAGGTGGTAATCCAAGTACTTGATGTCAATGACTGCCGGCCGCAGTTCTCCAAGCCACAGTTCAGCACCAGTGTGTACGAGAATGAACCAGCAGGCACCTCAGTCATCACCATGCTGGCCACTGACCAGGATGAGGGCTCCAATGGACAGCTGACCTATTCACTCGAGGGCCCCGGAATGGGTATGCAGCTTGCCCTGGTCATGGGCAGGGAGGTGTTAGGAGTTGGAGAGAGGCAAGTTGCTGTGTCTACAGCCCTGGGACAGGGGGAAGAGGAGAGACAGGAGGGCTGTCTCAGCCAGACCATGCCCCTGTTTCTCCCATTACCAGAGGCCTTCCACGTGGACATGGACTCAGGCCTGGTGACCACACAGCGGCCACTGCAGTCCTATGAGAGGTTCAACCTGACTGTGGTGGCCACGGATGGTGGTGAGCCCCCACTCTGGGGCACCACCATGCTCCTGGTAGAAGTCATTGATGTCAATGACAACCGCCCCATCTTTGTGCGCCCACCCAACGGCACCATCCTGCACATCAGAGAGGTACTCCTGGTTGCTGAGACCACTGCCCAACAACACCCTTCCTCACATCCAGCCCACCACCTCATTCTGCAGTCACTGCCTGGCAGAGTGCACAGCCCCATTGTCAGAGTGGGAAACAGAAACCAGACAAAGGAGCAGACTTGTCCAGTGCCACACAGAAAAGACCTGAGCGATGACTAGGTCCGTAGGCTGTGCTAGCAGATGAGCTGGGTTCATGTTTAACTCTGTGGTTCACCAGTCAGATGACCTTGAGCAAGTGGCTTCTCTGTAGTGTTTTCATCCACAGATGGGACTAATAATAGCACACGTACCATCCCTTACTCCTAGACTCTACCAAGGCCATCTGGTCTCCAGTCACCCACTTCCCCCAGACTTACCTCAAAATAAACACAAGGCTCTTCTGTCTGTCTACTGCCCCTGCTGATCCTAAAATACAGGCAGCCTGGCCTGGGGACCAGCCTCCTCTTGAGACCCAAGGGAAATGACCAAGCCCAGCATCGCTGAATTCTCTCATTCCTTGGTCTAACTGGCCAACTAAAGTCAGGAGAAGTGCTCTTGTCTTCTACTCTCCTCGCTCCTAAGGCCCAGACAGACATTCCTTAGTGGTATAGTTCTAATATCTCTGACTTGTCCTTTCCCCTACAAACTTGAGCAAGTCTCCACACCTCAGAATGTCAGTGCTAAGGCCACCTTGTTATTGTTTTTTAAGGTGCCATAAGAGAAAATGATCCCAGGACTGGGACTAGGCTATAGGAAATATTGGTCCTGGCATCACATCTGCAGCCATTCAGTGGTCCTCTTTGCTTTGCCCACTAGGGAGCTCAGAGTGGTCAGCCCCTCCTTAAATCTGCAGAGATTTGGGGCACATACCTTGCCCTCCACTTCCATCTATGCCACCTATTTTTCCTTTATTCTAATCTTAACTCATTCGTTCTCATTATAATTCATATATTCTTGTCAGTTGCTTCAAATCTTTTTTTGTGGAGAAGATGGAGCATAAATTAATAATAATCTACTTTTTCACACCAAAGGCCCCATTTGCTAAGTTCTCCCTTCAAAGGCTCTGCATTTTGGAAGATCCATGTCTCCTGAACAACCAGCATTTATAAAGTAATCATCTGTCATCTCATGTTTTATTAATTAGATGACACTGCCATTTGGAATTTCTTGTCATAAACAGTGAACAAACAATGACGCTAGGTCGGGCTGAACATTTTCTAACTAAAATCCAAGAACCATCCTCTAGGGCATTTGCCCAGGGCAGCCTTAGTATAGGCCAGTGTATGACTATAATTAGATTTTCCATGTCTTAGACTGAACTCAAGAGAATGCAGGCATTTGAGGCTTGGAGAGGTGAAAGGGGTATGTCCAAGTTCCACCATGAACTAGTCACCATTAATCATGACCAATCTGTACCCACTCTGCATGTTCTCCATTTACCCCATGGATGGGTGGTGGGTGGTACTGTTTGGGGACACTCAAGAGTGTCAGTGATTGGAGTAGCAGAGAAAGCAAGACAGACACGGAACAAAGGGTATCCTTGGCCTAGACTTTGGATTCCGCACCTGCTTCCCTATCCATCAGCATGCACTGGGACCAGGGGGATGGCAGGAGATGGTCACTCCAAGAGAACTTAAAGTATGTGTGTCCCAAGTTGGACTGTCTGTGGATAAGAGCTTTGACTGAAGGATGGGGAAAGCAAGAGCTCTGTCAGGGCCTGGCTCTGGGATTTTCCATGTCCCGGCACCCCTCACCATGTGCCTCACAGGAGATCCCGTTGCACTCCAATGTGTATGAGGTCTACGCCACTGACAAGGATGAAGGCCTCAACGGGGCTGTGCGCTACAGCTTCCTGAAGACAGCAGGCAACCGTGACTGGGAGTGCTTCACCATTGACCCAGTCAGTGGCCTCATCCAGACTGCTCAGCGCCTGGACCGTGAGAAGCAGGCAGTATACAGTGTAAGGGACAGGGCTGGGATAGGAAATGTGGTGGTCTCCTGGACCACTTCAGGGGACCCAGGTCTAGAAGAGCTCACCTAGGGCCCTAAGCCAACCTACACCATCCTTCCCTTCTGACTGGGTTCCTCTGCCTCCAGCTCATCTTGGTGGCCAGTGACCTGGGTCAGCCAGTGCCATATGAGACCATGCAGCCATTGCAGGTGGCCCTGGAAGACATTGATGACAACGAACCCCTCTTCGTGAGGCCTCCTGTGAGCTCACCCATCCCCTGTACCCATCATATCCCCAAAGGGATTCACTGCCCTCATGCCTACACACTAATCGGCATAGTGTGTCCTGATGCACAACACAGTAAGCCTCTGTCTACACGCACTTCTTACAGAAACAGCTCTTCACTGAATAGCTATGACATTCAAGGACAGGCACTGTTTCAAGGCAATACCCAGTGATCCAAAAAGTAGCCCCAAATGCCTAGGATCCTTGCACTTGTGTCCACATTATAGGCATGCACGTCCATGTGTATACATAGAGCATGAAAATCTACTCTGGGGTATTGAGCTAAAACTGAGCCAAAGTGGCCAGTAGAGCCGAGGAACCCTGTTGTGGTCTCCATGTGTGCACGTAGAGCTGGGATGTCCCCTGGAGGCTGTGTGCATGCACATTAGCATATAAACATATGTTGGAACATGTACTCAGGTGCTAGGCATCAGATGATTCCAAACCCAGCCCTGTCCTCATGGAGATTACGATGGTTCTGTTTGGTCCCTGGGCAGTAGACTCCTCAGCACCCACAAAGTAGGTACCCAGAGTCCTCTGGCCAGGACTGAAGTCTGCATCTCCTGTGACAACTCCTCCCCTGCAGAAGGGAAGCCCCCAGTACCAGCTGCTGACGGTGCCTGAGCACTCACCTCGTGGCACCCTCGTGGGCAACGTGACGGGTGCTATGGATGCAGATGAGGGTCCCAACGCCATTGTGTACTACTTTATCACAGGTGGGGCTGACGGAGCCAGTGCCCCACCTGCCCTGGGGTTGAAGAGGATCCCAAGTGTCCTACCACTCATGTGCCCTGTCTACCTGCAGCCGGCAATGAGGAGAAGAGCTTCCACCTGCAACCAGATGGACGCCTGCTGGTGCTCCAAGACCTGGATCGGGAGCGGGAAGCTGTCTTCTCCTTCATCGTCAAGGCATCCAGCAATCGCAGCTGGACACTTCCCCGAGGACCCTCTCCAGCCCTCGACCTGCTGGCTGACCTCACCCTGCAGGAGGTGCGCGTCGTGTTAGAGGACATAAATGACCAGCCACCGCGCTTCACCAAAGCTGAGTACACCGCAGGTGCATGAACCAGCCAGGGCCTGAGGGCATGGGTGACTCCTTCCCTGACATTTACATGGCCTGCCTCTTCCCACAGGGGTGGCCACTGACGCCAAGGTGGGGTCGGAGCTGATCCAGGTGCTGGCCTTGGATGCAGACATTGGCAACAACAGTCTGGTCTTCTATAGCATTCTGGCCATCCACTACTTCCGGGCTCTTGCCAATGACTCTGAGGATATAGGCCAGGTCTTCACCATGGGTAGGAGCCCCTGCCATTGCATGAACTGTAGTCCAGAGTCCTGTGAATGCCACAGGGCCTCAGTGGCCATCTATGTCAGCCCTTCTGTCTGCCCACGTATTCTCTGCTCCTGTGTTTAGTTCCATCTGCTCTGCATTGTCTACCTACCCATCTGTCTGCATCCACACACTTTCTTTTTCCTGTTTGTGGTGTCCTATTACATTTTTATTTACTGGGGGGTGGGGCATGTCCATGACACACATGTGGAGGTCAGAAGACAACTCGTGGGAGTTGGTTCTTTCCTTCCACCATATGGATCCTGAGGATCACACCCAGTTTGTCAGACATAAAACAACCACCTTTATCCACAGAGCCATCTCACTGGCCTTGTTTTGTTTTTCGTTTTATCGAAACAGGGTCTTGTACACCCCAGCTGGCCTCAAGTTCTCTATGTAGCCAAGAATGTTCTTGAACCAGGCATGGTGGTGCATGCCTTTAATCCCAGAAGAAGCTGGCAGATCTTTGTGAGTTTAAGGCCAGCCTGGTCTACATACTGAATTCCAGGACAGCCAGGGATATATAGTGAGACCCTGTCTCAAAAAGGGGATGAAGGGGGCGCTAGAGAGATGGCTCAGCAATTAAGAGTACTGGAGGACCTGGGTTCAGTTCCCAGCACCCACATGGTGGCTAACAATCATTCAGTTCTGACTCCCTTTTCTGACCTCCAGAGACATTGCCTGACATGGATACACTTCATGTAGGTAAAACATAACAACTGAGCTACATCCCCAGTCCTTTCTCTTTTTTAAGATACATATTTTCACAATATTTTTTAATCATTTTTATGTGTATGAGTGTATTGTTTGTGCGTATGTAAGTGCCCCTGTGTCATGCAATGCCTGCAAAGGTCAGAAGAGAATGTCTGATTCTCCTGGAATTGGAGTCATGGATGGTTGTCAGCCACCAAGTGGGTGCTGGGAATCAAGCGTGGGTCCTCAGCCAGTACTCTTAACTGCTGAGCCATCTCTCCAGCCCTTCTTTTTCCTTTCTCATCTCCTTATCCACCCATTCATCTACCCATGTATCCATCCTTCTGTGTGTCTACTCCCTCCCTATCCCCTTTTCCAGTATTCCCCATCTTTCCATTTGAGCCCCTCTCCTGCGTGTCAGGCCTTGGGCAAGGCACCCGTAAGCTTGAGTTTTCACCTATATGGATGATCCCACAAGATGCCCATCCCATTACACACACCACCACCATCCCTGCCCCCCGCTTCTCTCCTGTGGACTCATTTTCTATATGACAGTCTTGACAGCCAGGAAGTCTTCGGTCTGATATTCAAGGCTCCCCAGATCTTCCTTCTAGTCCCTTTTGGGCCCCACAGCCCTCTACCATCCTTATGGGCTCTACCCCATTCACCCCTGGACCTCTGACCCTTCTGCCTTCATTTCCTGGAATGCCATCCTAACTCCCATCTTACCCCCAGGTATACCTCCCTTGTCCTTCAAGGTCTGGTTCATATGCCACCTGCTCCATTACATAACCAGATACTGTCCTCTTTTCCTCTGAGCCCTATTTTCTATGTGGTGCTGGAATGGAACCCAGGGCCTCATGCAAGATGAGCAAGTGCTGCTGCCAAGCTACATCCCTAGCCTTACTGCTTTAATAAACCAGGTCTCAGAGAAGCTAAGGAGCTTGCTAAAAGTCACAAAGCTAGAAAGTGATGGGTTTTGAATCAAAGTCTTCTGTCTTTTTTGAGGAGCCTAGGTTGAACTACCTCTGATCATTGCTAATGTAGTTGTGGAATTCTGAAGTACATGTGTCTAGTTCATGGGAAAGACCGACCCTAAGGGAGCTCAGAAATGGACACAGACCCTGGTCATCTTTGGGCAGGGCATCCTCCAGTTATGTTTTGTTTAAAATACAGAGTGTTTAAGTAAAAACTTGAGCAACAGTTAAAAATAAGGGGATTTCAGCTGGGTATTGTAGCACATCCCTGTAGTCCCAGAACTCAGGAGGTAAATGTAGGAATGAGAATTTGAGGCCAGCCTGGGCTACCTGGTGAATTCCAGGCCAGTCTGAGCTATATGCTGAAACCTGACCCCTTCCCAAGAAGGGGAAGTTGTAAGGGGTGCACTCAGGAATGCTGGGTGGCCCCTGAACTGTATTACCCCTGGCTCTTCCATAGGGAGCGTGGATGGCATCCTACGTACCTTCGACCTTTTCATGGCCTATAGCCCTGGCTATTTTGTGGTGGACATTGTGGCCCGAGATCTGGCAGGCCACAATGACACAGCCATCATTGGCATCTACATCCTGAGGGATGACCAGCGCGTGAAGATTGTCATCAATGAGATCCCAGACCGTGTGCGAGGCTTTGAGGAAGAGTTCATCCGCCTGCTCTCCAACATCACTGGCGCCACTGTCAACACTGATGACGTGCAGGTGCTCCTGGGGTCTTTGGACTGGGGCAATGGGAGGTGAAGGAGGCAGGTGAGGCATCCTCTGTCACTTCCTAGCAGCATGGCTTTGTGAAAGGGCCCCCCTGGTCTCTGGGGCACCATCTCCTAACCCAAAACAGGGCTAATAGTGAATCACCCTTGTATGGGAGTGAGTGGTCCAGTGTTTGGTCATCCAGAAGATTCAGCAGTGATAGATATGCTGTTACGTAGGCTAGACAGGCTCTTGCAAGATGCCTGCCTATCCCATCCCAACCTATCTGATCCCATTCTCTCCCCCAAGCAGACCAAATGTCCACATGGCCACACCCTATGAATTCCTTTCTCCCCTAGTTCCATGTTGACAAGAAGGGACGGGTAAACTTTGCACAGACTGAACTGCTCATCCATGTGGTGAACCGGGACACCAACCGCATCCTGGATGTGGACCGGTGGGTAGGGGCTGTGCTTTGGATGGACTGCCTGCCTGCCTGTAGTTGAGAAGGGAATCCCTAAAGGAGGCACAAACTCCATCAGTCCCACTGTATAGGCAGAGCTGGGGCAGAATGCACTGGGGGCAGCAGGAGCCCTGCTCATCCCTCTGAGCCTTACTCGCCCTGTCTGTAAAAGGAGTGTCCACTTGTTGTGGAGGGTCCACTAGGAGCCTGGACACAGGCTGGGGATGCTGTGAGATACTATGACCTCCCAGGTCAGTGGTTTTTATCTTGCAAGGCTTCAGGGTGGAGGGCGAATATTGGGCCCGATGGTAGAAGCAGGGTACCTTGCCATGGTGGAGAGTGACTCTTAGGAGGTAGGGTAACTGAGATGGAGTGGAGGCCACAATCTTTATGCAGAGTCATCCAGATGATTGACGAGAACAAGGAACAGCTTCGAAATCTTTTCCGGAACTATAATGTCCTGGACGTGCAGCCCGCCATCTCTGTCCAGCTGCCAGATGATATGTCTGCCCTGCAGGTACCCCACCAGTGACAGCCCCTGTGGTCTGGGTGGGCCGTGTCATGAACACACATGCTCATGGCTGACCTATCCCCACAGATGGCGATCATCATCCTGGCCATCCTCCTCTTCTTGGCCGCCATGCTTTTTGTCCTGATGAACTGGTACTACAGGACTATGTGAGTGTCCCCACCCCTTGGCCTGAAACATGCTAGCCAACCTGCTCCTGGATGGCAGGGCCTGGAGGCAGGCAAGGCTAGGGGCCAGAGACAGGAGCATAGCCTCCCTTATGGGAGTCTCTCTCTACCTCTTTCCAGACACAAGAGAAAGCTCAAGGCCATTGTGGCTGGTTCTGCAGGTAAGTGAAGGCTATGAGATCCCAGGACAAGGTGCCCAGTGCTGCAGCTGGCTGCACCGCTCCCCTCCTCATCCCAACTCTCTTCCTGCAGGGAACTGTGGCTTCATTGACATCATGGACATGCCCAACACCAACAAGTATTCCTTTGATGGGTACGTGGGCTCAAGATTTGTAGGTTCCCTTTGAGGGCCCCTGCAATACCCAGCTAGTGAGAAGTGTCTACAGTAGCCCAAATACTGGCTAAAACTTGGAATGTGTGCGCCCCCTAATGGGACAGTCACGTCTCTGCACCCTCAGAAATATGCTGAGCTGGGTTCCCAGCCCTGTCCAGGTCCCAGTTACTAGGATGCATCATCGGCTTTGGGTGAAGGAGAGAGGTGAGGTGAGACTTTCCCCAACAAAGTTGATCCAGGTTGGCATGCAATCCTGGTTCTAGAGGGTTCCTAGGATTGAAGGATACACCCACAGGTACCACAATGGGGTCCCTATGTATCCAGGTACCACAATGGGGTCCCTATGTATCCAGGCAGTCCAGAGAAATGGGCAGGGCTTACAGGCAAGACTGAGGCTCCTTGCTCTACTCCATCCCACCTCCCAACCACAGAGCCAACCCTGTGTGGCTGGACCCCTTCTGCCGGAACTTGGAGCTGGCAGCACAGGCTGAGCACGAGGATGACTTGCCTGAGAACCTGAGTGATATTGCTGACCTGTGGAACAGCCCCACTCGTACCCACGTGAGCAGGGACAGAGGCCTATGGCCAAGGAGCTGGGGTCTTTGGGGGGTGATTCCCTACCTTGTGTGCATCTCTCATCAACCTGTGCTCCAGTCAATGTCCCCTCTCCACAGGGAACTTTTGGGCGTGAGCCAGCGGCAGTCAAGCCTGATGATGACCGATATCTGCGGGCAGCCATCCAGGAATATGACAACATTGCCAAGCTGGGCCAGATCATTCGAGAGGGGCCTATCAAGGTGAGCCCTCCCTGAAGCCTCTTTCATCTAGTCCCTGGCTGGACTTGGACCCCACTCAAGGATGCGGTGAGGTTGGAGACTTTAGGCTCAGCTAGACCTGCACTCGATAGGGGTGAGAGCATCTGGGCCAAGAGGGAGGCCAGGCACAGGAAGAATGAGGCAAAGCAGCCCAGGTGTCCTGGAGTTCTGGCTAGCCAGTTTCCAGGCTCTCATGGCATCCTCTACTCTAGGACATCTGTGTGCCGACTCCAATAGGGATGAGCCAGAGGTAGGGCAGCTGCCAATGGAAGCAGGGGCGTTAACCCTCTCCCTCTCTCAGGGCTCGCTGCTCAAGGTGGTCCTGGAGGATTACCTACGGCTCAAAAAACTCTTTGCACAGCGGATGGTGCAAAATGCCTCCTCCAGCCACTCCTCCGTCTCCGAGGTAGCGAGGTAGCCGTGGGCGCGTGGGAGCTGTGTGCCCGAGTGCTGTGCCCCATTCCTGGGGATGCTTCCCCCCAACCCCAGCCAAGTCCAAGAGTCAGGCTTGGAGCAGCTACATGAAGTCAGAATGGGGGGTTCTGCTTTCTGGTCTCTGTGGGGTCCTTCCTAGAGGACGTGGTGAGCTCAGAAGTGGTGGTCCAGGAACCCTAAGACACTTCTGAGGGGTGCTTAACTTCAGGAGATTGTAGGCCTACCCTTGGACCTGTAGCAACTAGATCAACATCAATTGCCTTCATCTAGAGGTCATTCCACTGGGTGGAAGACCATGCAGCACTTGAGTCCCTTTTATACCTATTTGTCTTTCCTGCTTCTGGCCTGCATTTAAAGTCTGGTCATGTTTGAGGTCAACTTGGTTACAAATCCAGATCACAATGGTGCTATATAAATAAAAGTTGAGCACAGGACACCCATGTGCTTGAGGACATGTGGTGACCCCTTGAAATGTCCACACTGCCCTCCATTTGAGAAACACTGTCAGACCTGCTGGGTAGACGCCTTGTGTGAGGTAGGAAGCAAGCACACACAGCCAGTGGGATTATGGATCAACCACCTGTTCACACATTGGGTGCAGCCTTAGCTCATGGGAGTTGCTGAGCCACATTGGGGGGGGGTGTCTTTGCCTCTTGCAGCTGATCCAGACAGACCTAGAGGAGGAGCCTGGAGACCACAGCCCAAGCACTGGCAGCCTGCGCTTCCACCACAAGCCACCCATGGAGCTCAAGGGGCCAGATGGAATCCATGTGGTTCATGGCAGCACCGGCACACTGCTGGCCACTGACCTCAACAGCCTGCCAGAGGATGACCAGAAGGGGCTGGGCCACTCACTGGAGACACTGACAGCCAGTGAGGCCACTGCCTTTGAGCGCAACGCACGCACAGAGTCAGCCAAGTCCACCCCTCTGCACAAGCTTCGGGACGTGATCATGGAGAGTCCCCTAGAGATTACAGAGCTGTGACAATGGGCCTCGCTGCTGAGCAGCCCATCCTGCCACCCTCCAGGACAGGAACATGGCCAACACTGCCCAGGCCACCTGTGTGGATAACCTGGTGCTGGCCCTGGAAGCCACAAGCTGAGTGGATTCTCCTGCCAGACACGTTCCACATCTGATCTCTACCTTCATAAAATTTGTTATTTTTTTAAGAAAACTAAAAAAAGATTCTGTGTCTGAGGTCAGGGTAAGGAGGTGTCAGAGCCCAGAAGTTTGAGGACTAGCTCAGCCCTCCATCCTCTATGCCCCACGGAGCAGGGACCTTACACTGGGAGACAAGGCTCAGAGCCACCCCCCCAACTGGCCTACCACTGCAGTTCAAGTCCCCCTGCATTTCTGGCACCTACCTGCTGGACATCCAGGAAGCAGTGAGTGCCACCAGCCCTCCACACACACAAGATCAGTGTCGACAACTGAGTGTTTGCTCCCACTCCCTGCCTTCCTGACATGCCCAGTTGAGACAGACTAATTCCTCTGGCTTTGAATGTGTTTGTGTGTATACCTTTTCTAAATTAAGTTATTCATTCCCTCAAGATTTGCCCCCAGGTTTTGTTTTAACTAATACTGAACGTGTATGGAATGCTGTTTTAAAAGCAACGCAAATGGAACCAGCAATACACTGGCTCTGGCAACATGTGACATAGTGTGTCCTGGGGTACTGGCGGCGCCTAGGATGAGATGTCACAGACACAAGACCAGATCTGGTTAACAGAACTTTGTTTTTATTGTCACAAACTTTTTAGTGCAAAACAAATGAAAATCTAGGTCCATTTTAACAGCATGTATGCATCCTGCTGGCTTTACAGGCGTACTGCCAACTGGGGGGTGGAAAAGAAACTTGGGGTGACCAAGGAAGCCAACAGAAAGTAAGGAGCTCTGTTGTCCAAACTGGTTTGAGAGGGATGGTTATCAAGAACGGTATGGCTGGGGCATGCAGGGCACAAAGCAGGGATCCAGAAGCCAGGTAGACACAGTACGCACGCACGCGCGCACACACACACGGCCAGACCGCCACAGAGCACGGGCTGGTTACAGTCACAAGCTTCCCTTCCCCACCCAAGCCCACAGAACCCAAAACAAGACAGATGAGGAAACAAAAACGGGGTGAAGGGTGAACCCACGGACAGCAATGTCCCAAGCCACCAGCAGGAGCATCCAAAACCACCTTTGTACTATTACAAGAGCAGTTTTATTATTCTAAAGCTCTGATTATTCTGTCCTTCTAATCAAAACTCCTTAGTACCACAGGAAGGGAGGGAGCTCCCTTCTCAGTACACAAGGCAGCCCCAGAAGCTCTCAGCTTACCAAACACCTGACAGGACTCAGAAAAAGTTCCTGCTGCCCCCTGGCTCATTGCCTTCCTCCTCCTCCAACAGATGGGTATGAGGACAGCTGGACAGCCCAGGCCCAGGATGCCCTCATTCTTCAAGCAGAAAGGGGACACTGAAGTAGCTGTCAGCACTTTCCACATGACAGCAATGCTACAGTAAGGGGGAGAGATGAGAGAACGGGGGGATCCTATTTATAACAAAGTTGAATAGATCTGTGGTGTTCATTACCCCAGACCTGCAAGGAGGCTGCAATTTCTGTAAGCTGGAAAACTAATTCCACACATGGCGTTTGCAATGGTCCACAGCCTGGTAGGAGAAAGGAAGAGAGTTTAGACTTCGGAAGCTGACCGCCATTCCTGGCCCACATGCATATCAGACATCACCCAAAATGTGACCTGGCTTTATCCTTGTCACTTAGAAGTCACCAGATGCAGAGGACCCAAGACACTATGTCAAAACAGGATCTGTGGCCCTCAGAGCTTTGAGGACTCTTACACCACCAGTCCAGAACCACAGAGTCCCTCCCTGCAGCTCTGAACCCAGGCATCCACTCACACCTGGTCCCCTTTGTCCTGCTGCTTGACTGCCAAAGCTCCTCGCCCAAAGCTGCACAGGCTCAAGAAAGGCAACCTCTGGCTGAGCTGTCACCACAGCAGTAGAAACCACAGTGCCACAAAAGGGTAGTGATGGCACAAAGGTCCCAGCTAGAGGAAGGAGGTGGCCCAACAATGCCCAAGATGACTCATCTCCCATCACAGGGTCACAAGGAACCACGAGAAGGAAGCAAAAGTTGTGTGAACCATTACACAACAGAGGCCAAGCCAAACACCTCCACCCAGGAGATCAGTGCCATGGTCCCTGGGGCTGCTGGGAAGGGCGGTGGAGCAGCCTAGAGTGAAGGCTCCAGCAGGGACAAATGTGCTCCTGAACACAAGAGAACTTGCACAATGCATGGGTCCCACAGGTCTGGTGCAATCCCTAGTGATCTCGTATGAAACTGGCACTGTCATAAGAGAACAAGATTTAAAAGCAGAAGTAAAACTACTAGGGGCCACCAAGATACTCAGTGGGCAAAAGTACTTGCCACAGAAAGATTAAGAGAACCCACTCCACAAAGTTGTCCTCTAACCTTCATCTGTGCACCACAGTACACATGCACCCACACAGGCCATACACAGTAATAAAGCAAAAAACCCTCAACACTATGCCCAAGACAAAAGCAGTTAGGCCTGCCGTCAGGGTACAGCCTGACACTCACTTCCATGACGCTCTCCCACAGCCACCCTGCAGAAGGCAAGCTACAGTAGGTCCTGGGACACTCACATTGCAACGGGCTGCAGTCTCCATGTTCTGACACCAGTAGCTAGGACCCCAGACACACTTCTCCGTTCCCAACAGCAACTTAGAGGCAGAGGGGCAGACTCCAATTTTCTATGTGGTTAAGGAAAAAAAAAAAAGAGTTGCCTAGCCGACCTCCTTCAGAGCTAAGACTGAACTGTTTCCAAAAGCAGCCAGCCCCCCTCCCACTCATACCCTGAGGTCAGGTCTCAGAACAGTCTGTGCCCGCACTCTTCCCCCAGGTTACAGCTGCAAGGCCAGGGCTCCCACTGAGACTTACTGAACACACAAAGGAAGGATCTATCATCTCCAGGAGGATTTCCAGCAGCACTGGCTCATACTGAGCCATAAATTCATCACACTGCCAAGGAAAGGGACATGGGTTCCAGGGTAGGTTGTGTCCTCACAAATGTTGACAGGCTGGCTATCTACTAGAGTCCTGACATTTCCATCCCACTGGGTCTTGGGGCCCAGCCTTCCCAGAGACCCTTCCCACCCTACAAGGCCTCCCTAGCCTGGGTCCTTTCCCATTCATGGCTTCATGCACTACCAATAGATCACCTGTACACAAAGCCTCCCAGGCTCAGGCCTGCATCAAGTACAAGGTCCCCCCACACGCTTGCACTGGGGCATAGCAGGGAACAGCCGCATACCTGCTTCTGGTAGGAGGCTGGCAGGAAGCTACAGCCCTTCTCGAGTGCAGCCAGAATCTCCTCCTTGGTACTGTTTTTCTCCAGGTTATGCTCCAAATAGCTGACCAGTTCCTTGCACACCTTACAGAACCCACCAGCCTTCTGTGGAGTTGCTGCACAAGAGATTGCAGGGATCAATGCTGGCAGGGTCCTCCTTAACCTGAGAGGGTTAACCCCTTTCCCTCACTGCACCTTGGCCTTACCAGGCAGCATGGGCTGTTTGGGCAGGACAGGCTGTATGGGCAACACAGGCTGCTCAAGCTTCTCAACTGGGTCACTGCCAGTGGAACAGAGCTGGATCACACCACACAGCAGCTCAGGGCTCAACTCCTTCACAAGGATGTCCAGCAGGTAAAGGCCGTATGTGTCTACCACCTCCTTGCACGTGGTTGAAGCAGGGGCGGGCAGTAGTAAGCATGCTCTGCCCACAGCCTCAATTATTTTTTCCTGAAAACGTGAGAGGATCATGTCAGAAGGGAAACTAGCCAACGATAGGAAGAGAGCCTGTAAACACTAGGGAACCAGCCAACAGTGAGGTGCTACTCCCTCTCTACCCAGCTGTTAACAGAACAAGATGGGATGGCTATGCACAGGGCACTGAAATCTCCCTTCAAGGTACTAGGGTTGGCTCAAGTGTCAGGTGGGAGAGCATTTCCCAGGTACATGCAAGAGCCCCACCTCTTCTTCCAGTGGATTCTCTCATTGGCACCTTCTGACAAGGAGAAGGCGGAAGACACTTGACAGAGCAGGCCTTGCCTAGTCAAGGAAATAACATACCTCGCTGGCATTGCTAGCAAGCAGTTCAGATACTTTCTTCATCATGTACTGACACGCCTTGCAGAAAACCACACTGTGGGCCTGGAGCAGCTCCTTCTGTGAGGGCCAGGAAGAGAGCATTTTAATGCTGGGACCGGAGTCCCTCGGGCCTGTCCCTGGAACAGAGCAGGATCCACAGGGGAGCAAGAGGACAGGGCAGGAGACATTACAGCAAAAACCACTGCCTACCAAATTGCAAAGTGACACCTTCCTGACACCTACAGACAATTCTATACTGTCCATTACGTATGTGGGGCAGGGATCCTTTTCCTCAACCTTTTAAAACCACTACACTCCCCACCTCTCCAGCCCTAAACAGCTATCCTCATGATGTACCATCACTTCACCATCCTATATTCATTTAGGGGCGGTAGATATCAATGTAGAACAGTAACTGCCTGTTATTTGAATACGTCAGTCTGGTCCTGACTTCCTGACCACCCAAAGCTGCTGTTTAGAATCTACCTCTAGCAAAGCAAGGCTGCTGGGGACACCTAGTGGTCTCAACCTCAAATATACTTGGGAGCCAGGCTGGGAACCAAAAGTCTGTGACTCACAAAACATGACAACACAGAAGAGTGGGAGAGTAGGGTGTCAGATACCCCAGTCAGCACATGACAGTGACGGCAGGTACCTCATAGGGGTCCATCAATTCCAGGGCCGGGAGGACGTTCTTGAGGGCCACAGTGGCAGGGATCAGGGTCTTCATAGGCACTTCCTTGACCTCATCACAGAAGCCAACCAGAGCACAAATTTCCTTAGGTTGCTGAAGAAACAAGAGTCACTGTCAGACAGTCTGTTTGCTGCCCTCAAATCCCCTTACTAGATACTAAGGTCAGGATGCTATGGCCCCAGTATCAAACTGACTCCTCCCACCCCGGCTACCAGGGGTTTTAATTCAATCTAAAAGGGCTCATGTTGAACGGTTGCATGTGTGCCAGTTCCATCCATCAGACAGCCTCCACCTTTGCTGCTCTAGCCAGGGCTACCCTAAGATAGGGAGCCTCCCAACACCTCTTATATCCCAAGGATACCTGGGCTACACATGTCTCTCAGGTCACTCAAAAGAAGTGAGCTCTCTGGAGGGACTACACACACAGTCCATGAGCTCACAGAAAGCCAAAGCGTTAGAAATAAAACCACACAGGATGCTTCAGTGGCAGCATCATTTAAGATGCTGCATTAGGGGAAATACTGTGCCGCACTACACATGAGAGCCCCACACCCAAGTAAGTCATTTCCAGTCACAAGGTCTCCAAGCTGATTTCCCTTTCACCGTCTTGACACCAAACCACAGAGAACCAGTGTGAAATACTGACCATCACAGTGCCAACGCCCAGAGCAAGACCCATCCATCGACCCTGTATGTGAAGCAACCACAGCCAGCACTCAGCTCTGAGCCTAGCAGTATCTGCCCCTCACATCCAACAGCAGTGGAACGGGGCTGCTGAGAAGTGGGGCCTGAGGCAGGAGAACTATGGCTATGGCCTGCCTGTATTGAGAAGGTTGGAGAACTAAGTATGGTTACACAGGCACTGAGAAATGTGCATCCTAGATTCCATCTCTGATGCATTTTGAGATTTTCTTTTATGTTGGGGGGGATGTCAGAATGAGACTAAAGATAGTTTTTTTGGGGGGGCGGGGGTGCCAAGATTCAGAGGGCGTGTCTCCCTGCAGCAGTCTAAGTGGTAATTCAGGCATCTCAATTTAAGCCTTTTCCTAGGATATTGAAAATGCAAATCTCAGAGATAGAAGGCAATGCTCAGAATGGTTCCAAAAGGGCACTAGCTCAGCCAGTATGGGCCAAGCATAGTTCCTACAGCATGCCACCCAGTGTGGCTCCAGACCCCACATGACCCATCCTATCTGAGGGCAGAAGCCACAACCAAGAGGTCTCTGGATCCAGCAGGTCTCTGGATCCAGCAGGCAGGCCAGGAAGTCTGCGTCTACTTTGCTCATGCAGAAGCATTTCTGGGGTTAGGAAAATAGTCATGCAATGTCACTCATTGTGACAGACACAAGGTGTCCCACCAGGAACCCCGCCTCCACTAAAGGAAGCTAAGGTGTCGTCATCACCTGGCGACAGGCATATGTGTGCTTTGCTGGCTTCACTTTCCCACCCCCAAAAGGAGCTGTGCCCCCGACCACCTGAAGTGTTGGCTCTCAGGGGAAGGATGTCTAGAAAGGGGGCTAGGAGGCAGGCCCTTGCCTTTCACAACCATTCCTTGTATCTGTCAGAGCTGACCATGCCAGACCAAAAAAAAGCAAAAAAAAAAAAATTAAAGAGTAAAATGACTAGAAGCAGCCGAGCACTACCACAAGCACATTCTCACCACATACCTGATCCTGCTGTTGAACAAAAAAACAGGAAATCGGAGGGGAAAATAAGAGAAAGGAAAAGACACAACAGTTAAGAAAAATTAAAACAAAATTAAATCAAGCAGTTAACCAGGTTGTAAGGATGTCACAAAGTTTAAGGGCAAACACCCTGGAGTATGGTAAGGAGTTTAGAGGGCCCAGAAAGCTAGTTCCAGACTCAATGGACAGACTATGTTGCTGGGGGCAGTATCGCAGCCCAAACACTGCAGCGAGGGTCCTGGAAACTGCCCCTATAAAGGGTCTTCCATCCCTGGAGCCTAACCCCACCTGACCAGAGCAGTGAATCTGGACCTAGGGCTGCTCAAATTGGAGGTAGAGGCTTTCATCCCTGGAGCCTAATCCCACCAGCCACAGCAGCGAATCTGGACCTGGGGCTGCCCAAATTGGAGGTACAGGGGTTATAAATCACCAACTGTACAACCTCAGGCCAGACGCCAGCCTGGAAGGCAGATGTAGCAGTGGCTCTAAAGACTTAGGCTTTAATTAGGAATTCCAGCTTCTGTTATCCTAACGGCCAAACAGGAACGAATGTATAAGGATGCCACGCCATCATTCCAAGGGCAAACCTGAACACTGTCCAACCACCCACAGGAGACTGCTCATATAAATTATGTTCTTGCTACACTGTGGGTTAATATGCAGCCACATGAAAGTCATGCACAAGAATAATCAGTATTTTTAGGGGGAAATCTACATTAAAGTACAAGATGGCCTCTAAACACATCTAAATGATGTTTTTGCAAAACCCAAATAAGGATAAAAACTTTAAAAAAAAAACTTCCCACACAGTATTTACAATGAGAAAATACTGACGTCAGCTGGAAGGACCGACTTCCAATCAGAAGGCTTAACCTACTTCAGATGTAGGTCTTCATACGCTGGCTTGAAGTGTTTTCACAAGGCAGGGAGTGTGTAAGTAAAAGCCCCAACCCACCCTGCTAGAAGACTGCTTGAGTGGGCAGGACAGGACAGGGCAGCACAGCGGGGTGCTAACTATACACAAAGCTAGAAGGGGGCCCTATTCAAGAACAAGGACCACACAGCATGAGGAAGAGGAAGCAAGTGGACCCCACCCCTTCCAGCCCTGCAGGCTAGATGTCTGCATAGCTGGCACCTGCTCTCTAGGGTCTGACCAGCCTGTGCTAGAGCCAGTCTTCAGCATCAGCTGTGTCCCAAGACCCAGGTTTCCCATCTCTCCTAGGCAATGAATGACCACACCCCCAGCTGCCTGGACAAATCAGGAGCTGGGCTCAAGCAAGCCTAGTTCCTTGGTCACAGGGTCCGCTCTGCTCTGCTAGGCAGAGCTCCTTCCCTCCTGACCCCAAAAGCAGGCTGTCCCTCAAATTCTCCCACCTTAGTGGCAGGGCAGACTTCTACAGACCCCAGCATTCAAGCCAGACACTAGCAATCTGATGGCCAGCTCTCACATGCACAAGCAAAGAGGCCCCAGGCTGCCACTGGGGCAGTCCAGGGATCAAATCAGCTAAGGCAGGCTTTCCTGATAGGAAAAAGGGGCTGAGATTGTGAATGGGAGTTTGCTGGGCACAGACAGTTCACTTTGGCTCACTACAGTTACGCAATGGAAAAGGAGGGTGCTAAACCATGGAGTTTTCAAAAATGCTGGCGATGACGCAAGGAAGGGGTCCCCTACCACCTACCATGTGCATCATCATCTGGATGGCGACTTCGGAATACTGGTCGATGTAGTTCTTACACTGGAGAGAGAGAGAGGCCATCAGTTAAGTGAATTACAACCAAACCAACATTTCACCCATGCCAGCTGGTGACTTCCAGCTGCATGCAGTGGCCCATGCCTGGAATTCCAGCACCCAGGAGGGCAAGAGGAATGACTTCCAGACCAGCCTGAGCTGCAGAGACCCTTTCTCCCAAGGAAAAATTCCTAGGAGAGGAATTCTCAGTGTCTGCTTGAGCAAGTTTTTGTTTTGTTTTGGTTTGGTTTAGTTTGGTATTTTGAGGTAGGGTCTCCCTATAGGCTGCATGCAGTGGCCCATGCCTGGAATTCCAGCACCCAGGAGGGCAAGAGGAATGACTTCCAGACCAGCCTGAGCTGCAGAGACCCTTTCTCCCAAGGAAAAATTCCTAGGAGAGGAATTCTCAGTGTCTGCTTGAGCAAGTTTTTGTTTTGTTTTGGTTTGGTTTAGTTTGGTATTTTGAGGTAGGGTCTCCCTATAGCCCCACGGGGCTGGCCTAGAATGTAGATCTCAGAGATCTACCTGCCTCTCCGCCCAGCCTGAGCAAGCTTTAATAAGATAAAATGGCAGTTTGGTTATTTCTCTACCCAGAGGAAATGTGTGGCAGTGTTGTGAACTCAGAGATCCGCCTGCCTCTGCCTCCCAAGTGCTAGAATTAAAGGCGTGCGCTACCACACCCAGCAAGACTGATATTTAAAGCCAGAATTTAAATAGAGTTTTTTTCAACTGCCTGCCTTCCTTAATCTAGGCATTTCCAGCAGACCCTCAGAGAGTAGCAAGTGTCGGGACCGAGGGCCTCCCCAGGAAGAAGAGCCAGGGACTCCAACAGGCCTCAGAGAGGGTTTAAGTGGGAACAGTTAAGATAGTAATTGCAGGGCCATTTCAGTGAGATTACATGGTCCTCAAAATGTTGAGAAATGGGCAGAAAGGCAGCCTCAGATCCAGGGCTGGCCATTCCTACTGCAACAGCCTCCCCTGTACGTGGCCAGGCAGGTTCTGTGGGTGCTCAGGCCCAAAGCTGGCCTTTTGGTTTTACACATCCATTTCACAAGTGTGGTTAATAATGAGAATAAGGTTTAAGAAAGGAACCCACCTGCAGAATTAACAAAGTAGGTTTCTAAGGCCACAGGACTAAAGGCAACTTCCAGGTCAATGTCCTGAGGTTGCTTACTGGTGGCCATTTCCTGAGGGAAACACTTAAAACTATGAGCCTCACTCATGGACAACAGTCATGCTTTTAAAAACAGGTTCTATCCCCAGGTTCAGAAGAGGGAATAGAAAGACTAGAGCCAGGAGGAGAATGAACACAAGGAAACCGTTTTCCAGACAGCTGGACAGATACTCATAAGAACTCACAGCAATGGTGGCAGCATGCACAAGTCCCACCTAAGCTCAAGCCAGACAAATCCCAGCACAGACCCAGCCCTACCTCAGGTACTATTGGCAACAGATGGCTGCTGCCAGAGGAGAGTCAGTCTCTTGGTTCACCAGGCTCCAGTGAATAAACTCACACCAAAGGGTATTTGAGGACAAAACCTGACTCTATAGGCCTTTATATGTACATACATACACACACACACATATTAGAGTACATGAACTTGGTTGGGGATAGTAAGGGGGTACAGATAGGGGAGGGGATCTAAATACAATCAAAATCTATTACATTAAATTTGCAAAAAATAATTTAAAACAGGTTTAGGGCCAGCAGATGACTTATCAGGTAAAGGTGCTTGCCACCAAGCTTGATGACCTGAGTTCAATCTCGGGCTGACATGGTGGAAAGAAATGACTCCCAAAGGTTGTCCCTTGATCTTCACAAGCACATCATGGCACACATGTGAGTATACACACAAATCACATTTGTCTTTTTGAGACAGGATCTCCCTGTAGCCCCAGCTGGCCTCAAGAGATCCACCTGCCTCGGCCTAAAGGCATGTGCCACCACGTCCAGCTTATAAATCATTTTTAAAAATTCAAAAATGAACAAAATTTAAAAAATAAGTTCTAGTGTATTTCTAATACATATAGTGGCAAGAAAAAGCTTTACAAAAGCAGTCTTCCATTGGCCCAAAAATTTGTTATAAAAAAGATTCAACTAATCAAATATACCAAAGTCTCTACACGCCCCCAAAAGCAGCTGGAGAAAGGGACACTTTCACCTGCCTCTTCCTCAGCACTACGGCTTGCACACTAGCCCAGATCATCCAAGGCCTTGGGGAGTAAGGCTCACCATGTCGGCCATGCCAGGCCCCAGGCGGTCGCACTCTTCCTTGGCATGATCCACCAAGCTCTGGACAAAGGTGGAGTTGGTCTTCACAGAGGTCTGGATATCTGTCACCATCTGCACACAGTCTTGGCAGACATCTCCACTTGCCTACAAGGACAGCGAGGACAGCAGCTATGCAGCCAAGAGGGCACAAGTTCCTGGAGCACGCCATACCTCACCCACCCAGGCCCCATCACAGGGGTGGCTGGCTTGACAGCTCCACAACCCAGAGTTCTAACCTCCTGGCTATTCCTTCTGGTAACAGTAATACGAGGGGGTGGCACTGCAGCAAGCTCTACTGAAGGGAAAGCACTGGTTCGAGCACTGGTTGCTCTTACAGAAGACCTGGGTTAGGTTCCCAGCACCCAAATTGTGGCTAACAACAGTCCACAACTTCAGTTTAAGGGGAATCCAACACCCTCTTCTGGCCTCCACAGGCATCACACACAGGTGTGTGCACACAGGTGGTACACTTAAAAGATATATGCAGGCAACACATATGTACACATAAGCTGAAGATAAATGAATCAAAATTTGAAATAAAAATCTCATTCTTTAGAAACTACAGACTCAAGGAACAAGTGGAGAAGCTTGTTTAGTGATGTGCACACTGCCCCTGCTAGCCCATCTCTAGTGGGTACATCACCAACATCTCATTCACCCTGACTTACCTTGGGCCAGGGCTGACTTTGGGAACCATCCTTGGGAGCCGGCTGAGGATAGAGCAGGAGAGGGATGTTGGCCATGAAGGGAGCCACCACACTAGCCATGTCCACCTCTGGGATCTTATTGGTCTCAAGCTGCTTCTGGTGGTTCAGTTCGGCCAGGTGCTTCTGAAGAGACTGGCACAGGTTGAGTGCAGAGCACACCTCCCCGGGGTTGCTCTGGAAGGGAGAAAAAATGGCTGAAAGCCCCTCTCCACATGACAGGAAATGGTCTGCTGTCTACCAGTCCCCCACTAAGTCCCTAAAAAAAACACACTGCTCTGGAAGAATGGGAGGATAACCTTACAGGGGCCTTCCAGGCTTTTCCCTACCCCCAATGTCACTGCTCACCTCTAAGGGAGATGAGTTGCTGGGCAGAGAGAAAGGGTCAGAGTCTGAGTCACTGTCACAGCCCCGTTACAAGCTAACACAACCCACTGGTTTCAAACACCTTCCATGTGGTTCCCAAGTTCCCACTGCTTACCACCACGTGGACATCTCTAGTTTACATCCTTCTTCCTGCTTCCCTGCCTGGCCGTTTTAGCCAAAGACTCCATTGCTGACTCCCCAGAGACCTGGAGGATGTTCCCACCCCCGTCTCCCATATATCCCCTGAGTAAGGCCAGTCCATTCGCCCTTCAAACACAATGTGTATCTGCCCATCTCCACTGTCTCCAACCACATAGAGCAATGCTGTAACCTCCATCCTGGGTATCTTGCCTATGCCTCCACTGTAGCTCATAGCCATGGGACCTAGAGAGCCTCACATCACCTTCGTCACCAAACCTTGGTCCCATCTCAACACTCTCAGTCCCACTGGCCCACTAGTTTCTCAGCACCTCTCCTTCCGAAATCCACAAAGCTACCTCCTTGTTCTCTACTGAAACCCAGCTTCCACAATCTGGGCAGAATATACACTTGTTGAATGACAAAGTGAGCGTCCTAGTGGTTGATCCCACAGATACATCCCTAGGACTACTCAATTCTACATTCACAGAAATGAAGCCAGGTGCTTATTCAAGGGGTAAAGACCTAACAAACATTTTGTCTAACTGGCGTTGACAAACCTTCACAGAATCCAAGGAATTCCAGCTTTAGCAAGTCAGAGAACCTGATGTGTCACAGCTACTCAATTCACGAAGCTATGAAGAGCTATAAAATAAATCCCACCCAGCCCCTATGCTCTGGGCCCTGAAGTAGCATCAAGAGCCTGTCCCCATCACCTACCATCTCCCCCTTGATCATGTCCAGGATGACAGGCAGATAAGAGTCAACCACCTCCTTGCAGGATGATGACAGGTTGGGGTTACGAAGCCAGTCACAGGTCTTCTCCAGGTAATGAAGGATCTCTTCCTATGAGGGGACACAAGGCAAGAAGCCCTCTGTGAGTGACTACAGCAAAAAGCAAGCCTGGAGACCTGCCCACCTCAGGGGAAGAATGGTGGGAAGCTAGTGGTTCCCCAAGGCTCTGTCAACACAACAGGTAAAAACACAAAAATTCTAAACAGGGAGCCTTTGCCCTGTGATCTTACAAGCACAAGTAATCCTGAGGTGGTAGCCAAAATGACAGCCACATGTTAGCCTAGCTGCTGATTGAGTAGAGTGTAAAATTCCAGTTAACTTTGGGTACTTTAATCTAGGTTAGCAAGCCAGGCCCCATTCGGCCTATTATGTACAGCCTAGAATAAGGAATAGTTTTTTTTATTTATTATTTTAATTATTTGTTTATGGGTTTGTGCAAGTGAGTGCAGTGCCCATGGGGGCCAGAAGAGGGCATCAGATTACCCTGGAGCTGGAGTAACGGGTGGTCATGAGCTGTCCAACATGAGTGCTAGAAATCAAACTTGGGTCCACTGAAGAGTACACCTTAGTGTCTCTCAGGCCTCAGCTTATTTTTAAACTGCTTTTTAAAAGGAACATGTATGTATGTATGGGCTAGGGAGCTGGCTCCTGTGTCAAGAGCTTGCTGTACAAACAAGAAGACCTGAATTTGGATCCTCAGCATCCACATGCATAAAAGTCAGGCATGACAACACATACCTATAACCCCAGCACAGGGAGAAGGAGGGGGAAGGGAGACGGGGGAAAAGGTGTAGGGTAAAGACAAGCAGATCCTAGGAGTTCTCTGACCAGACAGTCTAGCTGAAATGGCAAGCTGAGGTTCAGTGACTGACTGTCTCAAAAAAAAAAAAAAAAAACGTAGAAAGCCAGGCATGGTGGTGGTACACAGCTTTAATCCCACCACTCAGGAGGCAAAGGCAGAATCAACTGGTCTACATAGCTGGTGCCGGGGGCTATAGGTAGACACTGTCCCAAAAAGTTGACCCCTCCATACACATGCATAGATAAGTGTGCCCCCCACCTACAGAGACACATGAGCATACACACATAAAAATGCCTATGCATAAGTTGGGTATGATGGCTTGCACCTATAATTCCAGCACTCAGAAAGCTAACCAGCCTGGATAACCTAGTAAGGGACACCTCAAAAAAAAAAAAAAACCAAACAGCTGCAGTACAAAAGCCTAACATTTCTTACTTTGCCCTTTCCAACTTTTGCCACCCCTGGGCCAACACTCCTCCTCTCCGGACCTCCAGAGCCACCATTTTCCTAAGGAAGCCCAGCACCTGGCCACAGTCCACATCATGCCCACGCCTACATCCACCCCCATATCCCCACTCACAGCAGCTCACCTCAGTGCCATTCTTTTTCAGTAGGTTGCCAGCTTCGGTGACAACCTCTTTGCACACGTCGCATGGAAGAGATTTCTAAGAGAACACAAATGAGGGAGAGCTTTGTATGTGCAGGACACTTCATACCCCATCCCCCCATCCCCATTCCTGATCTTATCTGACCAGTACTGTGATCAAGATGGTATTCCACTGTCACATCCTAATGCCTGCCCTTGCATGTGAGGAGAGAAGCAGCAGGATACAAGGGAAGGACAGGGTAATCCCTCCTTGGTACCCTCTGGCCCTCAGCCCCTGCTCAATGCACATGGCACTAGTCGATCTCCTAGGAATGCTCACAGCTGTGAAGAAAACAGCTAGGATAAAATGGCAGTCATGTCAAAGCACAACCCAAGCCAGTCAGTGAGCTTCTCAACCCCCCACTGACCACCCCCTGGTACCTCATCTACTTCTGCTCCCAGGCAGCACTCTGAACAAGTATTAGACACACACCAAAGCCAATCTCTGACAGGCCTGGCCTGGGAAATCCTAGGTGGTTCTCGAAGCTCATGGAGAACCACATGTACTTCCTCCTTGATGCCAACTGACCTTTAGCCCATGGAGGAGCTAACTTGTCTGCCTGCGATTAAAGGACAACTATAGACTGAGCTATATCAGAGAAACCTGTGTGAACCTTCAGACCCTGTCAAGTTGATAACCCTGTCAAGCTATTAACTATGCATGGTCATGGAGTCTGGCAGCTCCACAACCACCCAATCCAGAAGGTTCTATATATAGTCCTCACTCAATGCACAGGAAACTTGAGAAGAGGAAGCATTATTCAAAACACAAAAGGGAGAACCCAAATCTGAACTTTCTGGCCACAAGATGAGAAGTTTCTAGTGAGTGATTTCAGCAATGTTTAATCAAGTTTTCTTTTACTGAAGGTGGAGTAGCAGTCACTAACAAGTTTAGAACCCAAACTCCACACAGCCTGCCACTGTGTGCCCCAGAGCACATTCATCTGAATGCAGGTGGACTCAGCAAAGCTCCATCTCCAAGGGATTTGAAACACATAAGAATGTAGTCTCCTTCCATTTCCCAGAGTCCCATTACATGCTCCACTTAACAACACCTACATGGAGACTGTCATATCTTCCTCTGTGCAGGGACAGCTAGAAATAAAAGGTTACTTAGCTACATCTGGCTCTCATTCTCCAACAGTGGTCTGCCTGGCTGAGGGAGAAGGGGAGCAGATGGGGAAAGACCTGGAAAGCCTATCATGTGCTTTGTGGGGCAGGAGACAAAGGCCGGGCTATGTGCCTATGTAGGCACACCACAGACCCACTGGGTCTTCACCTAGGTGGGGAACTGGATCCTGCAGAAAGGCCTGTAACGGAGTGCAGAGCACACACAGTGGCAGGAATGGAGGCCCTCCCCCCCTTAACTGCCACCAGACGACCAGGCGGCCTATGGACCTTCCCTCTCTGAACCTCCATTTTTTAGGTGAACTGGGCACACCAACAGCCCTGCCTGCCCTGTTGCCAGTGTTCCCAAATGGAGCAAAGAAAGACAGGAGAAAGTGCTCCATACAGTGGAGGTTGCAGAGGGCGCAGGGCTGGCACTCACCGCGGTGGGCTTGCTCCAGACAAACTGCTGGCAATGCTTCAGTGCCCCACACTCCACCGCCGTCTTCAAGTTACTGCACAGCACCGCTGAGCCCCCGGCACATTTTTGCAGGTCTGGGACAGGGCCAGTCAGAGCTGAAAGGAGAATCAGTGTGAGGAGCACTTTAACATGCCAGGTACGTAAAACCTCAGGACTAACACTAGTCCTGACCTGTTAGCTGAGTGGTCCCTCACCAGGCCATGACAACACACAGCATCACAGGTTGGTTAGCCATGATGGAAAGCCAGGGCTGTCCCCAATCATAGGACCAAAGAGGACATGTCCAACTACTGACTACTGACCTTCTTATTTTTTAATTTTGAGACAGGTTCTCCCTTTAGCCCTACATGGCCTGAACTCACTATGTAGCCCTGGCTGGCTTCAATCTCAGAGAGATCTGTCTGCCTCTGCCTCCCCAAGTACTGGGACTAAAGGTGTGTGCCACCATGCCCAGAGTCAACTATTGAATTGTTAAAATATTACAACAATCTTAGCGCTCAAGAGGCTGAGGGAGGAGAATGATGGGTTTGAAGCCAGGCTGGCTACGTAGTCAGTCAGGCAGATTCCATCAGACTACAGAGAAAGATGGGACAGCTTGAGGACTAAGCGCCATAGGGGGCTGAACCAACTGTGGATGAAAAGAGGAAATACTGGGCCCAAGTTGGAGACGAAAACCCCAGTCGCTCACTCAGTCTTGCTGCTTCACCTTGGAAGCCCAGTGAGACACATGCCTGCTTGCAGAAGCATCCCCCAACCCCACGGCACAGAACCTCGCAGGTTCTTCCTCCAGAGACTAAGGAAAGGAGATGTTCCATTACTGTGACCATAGCTCCACATGCAGACTGAGGTCCCCCAAACAGCTCAAGCCAGGTCATCTGCCAGTGGCCTACACCGCTTCAGACATCCCCACACAAACCATGACTCTGCTTCCTGTGGTTTGGCCCTCCCTGCCCCCTCCAAGCCAAATCACAAACACATCCAGTTAACCAACCTCCACTGCCCAGACGCTGTTGACCTGGACTCTGGTTTCTGTGGGAAAACAGATTCAAAACTACACCACTCTACCTGATGGTGCCAGAAGTTGATTAAGCTACAATGCAGACAAGCTGGGCTGGAGCCAAGTACAGGAGGTGACAGGGTGAGTCACAGGATTAAGAACTCTTAGGAGTGTGGGGTAGGACACCTCACAACTGGAGCTCCAAGACCTGCCGGCTCCCCATTAAGCCTTCCCATGAAAGAACTCATGAAAGGCACTCAGCAAGTTATACCACCTGAAGCCTACCCAGAGCTGCAGATCAGCCTGAGATAGAGGGGAAACAACATCCAAAACAAACAATACAGCTTGGCTGGTAGCAAAGGACAGCACAGTGGCTACACACAGGGAGTCAGTGGGCAGGCTCAGGCACCAGCAGACTAGGGCCCAAGGCAGCTGGAGTAGCAGGCCACCATTCCTGATGCTGGAGTAAAGCTCTGTCCTGGCTGTTTTCCCCAACCATCTATCTTCCTTAGGAATTTGCTATACCTGACAAAATTCTACCAAGTTTCTGGAAACAGCAAGCCCAAGCCACAAGCAGACTGGTTGTTCCCTCCCTCTAGGAACTTGACACAAAACCATGCTCAATCACAACTGTGCTGTTTGTTTTAGCCAGGTTGACTCTAGTCTGAAAATAACACAGGGCAGCACCCTTTACCTGACACAGGCCCAGATAACAGACTTACTGTCTGGTTAATTCCTATGAGTACCATCCGATGACTGTCCCTAAGTCAGGGGTTCATCCTGTGGGCAGCACCACAGCAGTGACTAGGGACTTCTGAGAGAGCACAGGGCAAGCAGGTTCACATCTGCATCTAACCACAAAGCCTTACGTTGCAGAAGCAAAAAAGACCGAAATGTAGAGGGCAGAGCACCTTACTGGAGTTGGATCCCTAGAATCCACATAGTGGATGGAGAGAAATCAATCCCTGAAAGTTGTCCTCTGACCTCCACATGCTCAGCATGACACGCGTGTGCACACACACTAAATAAATGGTAAAAAACTGCATCTTAGTAAGGTCCAAGGCCTGAGTCCAAGCATGACCTGGGAGCAACAATTTAACAGAAAGCTAACAGAAAACATCCAGGACATTCTGAAAAGCAAAGAAAATGAAATAAATAGGGTTCAGGGAAGTGGACCGTGGGCTGAAAGAACACGGCACAGCAAGACTGCATAGCGAGAGGATGGGTGGGCTGGAGGCAGCTGGTTCCAGCCCCTTTCAGATGACCACCTCCATCATGAAGCTGAACAGCTGCTTGATCTGCAGACCTGCTAAGCCCATCTGCTATGTAATGAGGCTATTAACATTCCCTGGGAAGTGTCACAAGACCCTCTTCCCTCAGATTCCAATCACAACTCCATCCTGCCCCAGCTACAGATAATCAAGTATTTATGAGGGGTGGGACCTTTAGTGGTACAGCGGCCTGTAAGCCATGTGACAAGTACCCCAAAATAAATTCACTTATTCACCAAGCTGGACTCGATGGGATCTTTCTATGGTCGACTGTCAGCTACTTCCCCATTTGGAGCCAATAGATGTGTCTTGTACAGCTCTGTAGGAAAATCAGTGTGTGAAGGCAGGCCACCAGAAACAGAAAGGTAGAGATTAGGAGAGGCAGGGCCATGCCGCCCTTTCACGGAGTCCCTGAGGAAACTAAAGAGTGCTTCAGAGACTGGTATAGTGGCTTTCAAAGAGTTCAGGGACCTATTCTGCCTATAGCAAGGGAGCAAGTGGAACTGTTGAACGTGTTTCTAGGCCCCAGAGCACTGAGCAACAAAAGCAGACCCTGTCAAGACAAGGAGCATCCGCATCCTGAGCACAGCAGCGATGTTCAAAGGGAAGGGGCTGCCTCGTTAGGCCCTGGGGGTCTGTAAGTGGCAAGCTAGACAGGAAGGCCCCCAAGAGCTAAAGTCTTCATTCCCACAAAACAAGGCAGAGGGTGCATGTTTATAGATATCCACTATATAAAAACTACCCAGGGTCTGGAGAGATGGCTCAACAGTTAAGAGCACTGGCTGTTCTTGCAGAAGACCCGGGTTCGAATCCCAGCATCCACATGACCGCTAACAACTGTCCCTAACTCCAGTTCCAGGGGATCTGACACCTTCTTCTGGCCTCTGCAGGTACTGCATGACAGAGGTGCACTTGCATATGTGCAGGCAATACACACATAAAAAATAAAACATTTTTTTAAAAAAGATTATCCAAACCACTTTCTGACCAGTTATTTCTCAAAATGTTCCCAACAAAGCTTTAGCTTCTTCTCACCTTCCTACACTCTGTCCCTCAAACCAACATCTTTTTTTAAGGTGGTTAGCTACCTCTAAGAAAGTTCTTAAGACCGTTTGCCTGAGCCCCTGGCAGTTTCCATTAAACGTGTCCTTACAGACGTGAACAGAATGCAGGGCAAGTTCAAGGCCACACAGCTCAGTTCATGGGCCTCGCTCAGGAGCCAGGAGAGACGGGCCTTGCTGAGGTCCAGACTACAAATGTTTTTCTGGGGAGTGTTGGGGACTTGACTTTGCTTTCCCCTTTGGCTTTTTGTGACAGGTCTCCATATGTAACCCAGGCTAGCCTCAAACTCATAGTCCTGCCTCAGTCTCCCTAGCGCTGAGATTAAAGATGTGTTACCCACCACACCTGGCTTCAGCTACCATTTTACTCCAAGACTAAAGATACACAGAAATGTTCTAGTAGGCAATGACAGACAGGTTCTAAATCACTTGACAATGCAGTATATCAAGACAGTAGGCTTCAAAGCCAGGCATGTAGTAGATGCCTGTAATCCCAGCACTCAGGATGCTGAGGAAGGACTGCTGTGAGTTCGAGGTCAGCATGGGCTACATAGTAAGTTCAAACCCAGCAAAATCTTGTCTCAAAAGCATAAAACCAAAAATAAACACCCCAAAGCTAGGTATAGATACAGATCAATGACAGAACGCTTGCCCAACACATGAGGGGCCCAGGTTCAATTCCCAGTACTATCAAAAATAATAAAACAAAGCTGGCATCAATGGAATTGTACAGGATTAAGAATGGCTGCCAGGGGCTGGAGAGATAGCTTAATGGTTAAGACCACTGGTTGCTCTTACAGAAGACCCAGATAGATTCCTAGCACCCACATGGTAGCTAACAATTGTTAACTCCAGTTCCAGGGGATCTTCTGGCCTCTGAGGGCCCTCCATGACACGGGTTCATTAACACAGCAGTCAATATAATCATACACATAAAACAAAATTTTTAATTTTTGTTTTTAAATAACTGCTGCCCAGCACTGGGCTTGAGGTTCAGATGCTAGACTCAAAACACTCCCAGAGAGCTAAACTCAATCCATGGGACCCACATGGTGGGTAGCAGGAATTAACCCCCACTACACCGCTACATGGACACTGGTGCCTGTGTCCATGCAAATACATAGATAAACTTTAAAAAAAATCTTCCAGAAGTCAGGTGTCATGATGCACACCTGTAGTCCCAGACCTGGGGGCTGAAGTAGGAGGAATGTGAAGTTCAAGCCAGCCTGAGGTAATCTGCATGATCCTGTCTCAAAAGCAAATGATCCAGATACAGTAGTGCACACCTGTAATTCCAGCACTCGGGAGGCAGAAGCAGGCAGATCTCTGAGTTTGAGGGCAGCCTGGTTCACACAGGACATTCCTGGCCTGATGGGGCTACAGGAAGACCCTGTCTCAAACAAACAAACAAACAAAAAAAAAAAACACAAAACTGACTGACAAAATGGCTCAGCACCTAAAAGGCACAGGCCAGGCCATCAAGCCTGACTACGCAAGATCAATCGCTGGGACCCAAAAAGTAGAAAAAGAATGGACTCCTGCAACTTGACCTCTGACCTCCACCATGGCACCTGTGCACATGCACACAAATAAAATGAAAACATAGGCTGGGAGGTGAGCTTGCTCACAGAGCTGTGTGTGACTCCTGTGACTCCTTACAAGATTTAAAGCTTCAGACTAAGATGTCTAAGGTACATTACCAGCACTGAGCAATGATTAACAGACATACGAGCTGCCTCCCAGTCTGGCTCTGCCACTTCCTAGCC